GAGAAAGAGAGAGAGAGAGAGAGAGAGAGAGAGAGAGAGAGAGAGAAAGAGGATGGAGTCAGAGAGATGGCACATGAACATCAAACCGGAGTAATTTAGCTGCAAGAAACTATTAGCAGATTTGGCAAGAATTTAGATTGCGGACAGAATGATGAAAAGCAATAGATTGTGTAGAGTAGGATTTCATTCCATTTTTTCACCAGATACATCAGATTGATATATAGATTGATTGATAAATAGATAGGATTGTATACAAATTAGTTGTCCCGATGAATATCTTATTTAATTAAACTGCGTTGGGATTGAACGCTGGCGTTCCATTTGTTGAATATAGTTTCGAATCAAAAACAAAACGTATTTTAATTTTCTATGCGTTTGCTAAAAATTAAATAAAATTTCACAATTTTTTATCAATTTTATATTCAATATTGTTCTATCGTATTATGGAAGTGAAATTAATTTATATTTTTTAAAATGAATCTAAACAACAAAGCAGAAATTAAATGTACATTAAAATTATTTTCATAATATAATAAATCACACACGCGCACGCACACACACACACAAGTCAGCACAATCAACTTATAAAAAGTTTAGATTTCATTGGTAACACAAGTTTGTGTTGCCACACAATATCACGTGCCTTTGAAAAGATTGCGTTCATACCATTCTATTCGGCGTTGGGCTAATGATCAAAATTTATCACCATTAATCCAACATGTTCAAAAGGTTTTTCAAGATTATTTCATCTTTTATTCTAAAATTTGTTCTAAAAAAAATTATCCAATGAGTCTGAAATTTAAGCGGGTGGTTGAAGTTTTGTAATTACAATAAGAATAAAGTTTTAGTTTTGATGTTGTTAAATTTATTTATTTTAATTATAAAATTAATTTAAATTTGAAAAATTAATAAATAATGATGGTTAACAGGCACATCAAACTATAAAAAGACCAAATGACATTTAAAGAAAGGTATTTAGAAAAAATAAGACACGTGTGTGTTTAGAATAAATAAAACACGTGTGTGTTTAGCAAAACAAATTTAGACAAAATAAACAATAAAAAATGAAAGTTAGACCTAATCAATTAGTTTATGAAGAATGAAGACAAAAGAAATGCAGACGAGGATAATTAACCATCATCTCTTAACCATATATTGATTCATTTTGGAAATGGTCTTTTTTCAAGTTTTTCAAAAAAGCTTAATCATTTGGTTTCTTAAGCGCTCTTCAATGAATTCTGCAAACAGATTTGTCTTGAGATCCGCTCTGAACTTCGTAAGTGATAGAGAAATAGTCAAAGAAGAAGACAGAGAGTCCCACAAAAAAGGGTCAGAAAGAGCAAACGCGGAATTAGCGTAAGAGTGTTTAACAGGAATTGAAATCGTGGACTGTTCGGGTTAATTAAAATATCTGATGAATACTTAGAAAATAAATTGGACTGAAATTTGTACATTAATGTGCAAATTTAAAAATTATTCTATGTTTTATATGTAGCCAATGCAATGAGAAAAATATAAAGAGTTAGGGGCACGAGCAACTAGACGAGCGGCAGAGTTAAAAGCTTTACATAAAAGATAGAGTGTAGAATCAGGAAGACCATAGTAGAGCGCATTACTATTATCAATCTTAGATAAAACTGTTGAAAAAACAATTAAAAAAAGTGTATTAATCGTGGATGAAAACAAGAAGTTTTAACAACACTATTAATCTGAGGAGAAAGTGAATGATAGAATAAATAATAGAACCAAAACTAAAATACTTATGAAAAAAATCAACAATTTGAGAATCAGGTATGAAGACATCGATAAGAGATGGAAAGAAGAAAACCAAGGTAGACAGGAATGCATAGATTATTTTCATACCACAGAGGATTGTAAAAATCTATTGTAAAGGCTATATAAGGACTTACGAAGAGCGAGGTTTCTAGCGATGTTTGAAGTGAAGTCGTAAATGTGATTTATGTAATAGTTACTTGAACTAGTTTAGTGTTTCTATTACTGTTTGCATTCAAATAAACGTTCAACCAGGTTTGCGGAAATCTTGAACCTACGGAATAACCCTAACTTGAAGGTCGTTGGGAGCTACAACACTGGTGTTCGAAATATAGAGATCTTTGAAGTTATAACATCGGTATTGGTAGTGATGAGCGTCAGAAGATAACAACAATATATATATATATATATATATACACATATACATATATAATATTATATATATATATATATATATATATATATTATATATCTGTGTGTGTGTTTGTGAGAGAGAGAGAGAGAGAGAGAGAGAGAGAGTTTGTGTATGTGTAAAATTAATAGCACATACAAACACTTGTGCTGCTGTATGGTGTACACATGCAGTCAGTGTACATGCGTGCGTGTGTACGCTGGGGTTTTTATTAATGGAGGTATGTGGTGAAAGATTGCATTCATTGTCTTGTTACTATTTACTTCCTGCTGACGTGCAGTTGTTGTGGCTGTTTTTGTTGCTGCTGTCGTCGCTATTTTAAATTATTTTAAATGACGCTATGATCGAGCAACGTATGTGTAAAAGAAATTTATACAAAATTTAAAATATTTCTAAAATACAAAATTTAATTGAAAAAAGCATGAAATAAAAAAAATTTTTAAATAAAAAAAGGCAAATTTATTGAAATGAATCAAAATTTATCGGAATTAAAATATAATATTAAAGCTATTTGTAATAATATTTTGAGATGTCTGTTAAATCAAAACAAATTATATACACTATAAAAAATGTTTTCAAAATTTTGTTTTTTAATAGTTTAGAAAAATATATTTCATATTTGTTGTTTGTAAGAATTGTTTATTGTCTTTTATAACTGACACGGATTAGTTAGGACAGCATTGTCAGAGAACAAAATTACAGAAATGTAAATTTTTTTATCATTTTAAAATGTTTTTTGTGCTACAAACATCGCTATAATGGTTGATTGCACCACCACAAGACAGCGAACGTGGTATGGCACACTAACATAACGCAACCGTTGTCAGACAAATTGCAAACAAGTCGATTGCTAATTAATCATGAGCGCATTATTTATTCATGAACGGGTTACATCAGAACCAATGAGAAAGCCAATTTAACTTTGATATTTTCGTTCACACAATGCTATCCAATAATCCATGCAACGACATGTACTGCTGATTTCCTCTGATCTTCCTAGCGTGGCGGTTTTCAATCAGACATCCAAAGATCAACGGATCAAACACACAACATTTTCTTGTTAGGTAATGTAAACAATGAATTAAATATAATCTTTTTTATTTATTATTAAAATCAATATTTTACAAATTAATAAATATATATCTCATGAAAATTTCATGTTTTTGTAGAAAGGTGGCTCGGCTTGTTTGTAAATGAAATTTTACGTTTTCAAAAACGTGTATTAAGAATAAGATAGGTCTTATATCTACCTATATTATTAGCAAGAACAAATGAAATTTACAATTTGGCGTTGAAATTTAACACGAAATCAATTTTCGGTGCCTTTTTGAAAAAAAAGTTTTAATCATTGGAAACCATATACTGAGAAGATTCTTGGAAACTTTATAAGTATTTGTTTTTAAATTAATTGAAACAAAAAGTATGAATGTTTTGACAGTTATTAATTGCTTGCAAAATGAAACCGGCCACAAATATTTCAAAACGAATGGCTTGTAAAAAATTGTAAATCAATTTTTTGTAATTTTGTATGATGTATTATGTCCAGTAAACATAATAAGGTATATGTAATACATTGTATGTGCATGCACAATTGCACACTATATGTTATGGATGGCAACTCCACGGCCAATGCAATGATGCCCTTCTTATGTTATGCCTACCTCGCGTAAAGCTTCATATATTTTATTCAATCTTCATATGAGTCTACTAAATTTGTTTTATAGTTTATCTGAAGTTTATTATTTATTAATCAACGATTTATTAAATGTTTTATATTTATTATTTTTAATATTCAACTTTTCCAAATTTAGTTGAGCAATAAGTAATAATCGTAATATTAATTAATCAACCCGAGATGCAAGCTTGTTTTATTTCTACAGTAGAGTTTCCGGACTATTTTAGAGCTATGAGCAAGTACAATAAGAAGTGAGGTAGAGGTAGAAAGCATTATTTTACGTAACGAACAATTTATAAGCATCTTCGTCAGAACATCAAAATAAAGTACAAATACAAAATAAATTAATTTTTATTTAATTTTACAAATCTAATGATCTAATTTCGAATGTCATTTACTTAACTTACCAATAATGGACGGACGGACGGACGAGTGAGCTCCTGCTAAAAAAAACTTGCAAATCTGTCTGGAGCGTGCGCGTTGTAGAGTAATAAAAAAGTAAGCCAGAAACAAAAGAATTAAAGTAGGCAACGAATCAGAGCAAAGGCAAGCAAGCAATATTAGTTTGACGAATGCCAGTCGTTAACGGCTTAGTGCATGCATTGAGATTTTTAGGCTGAGGTGGGGTGCAGAGTCACAGGCATGTGTTTTAAGTGGCAGACATGTGTCATCAGCATATCGATGAAGAAATAGACTAAAATTGATGATGATGCTAAAGATTAGAGCCAAAAAATTAGAATGTGGTTAAAGACAAAACCTTGAAGAAGCTCAGTAAATAAGTGAAAGTTGAAAGAAGCATGTAGGTTGCGTTTAATGTATAAAACACGATTTGACACATACGATTGAAATCAAGAGCAAGTACTGCCAAGTTTTGTGCCAAGTCTGTCATAATGTAATTAATTTAATTTATTGTTGCACTTATTTTCACCTATTTAAATATATATTTTTGTGTTTGCACAACAGAAACTAAAAGTAATCTGTTGTTTTAAGTAATGAGTCCAGATTTTAAAAATTATTATTTCAAATACAAATTGATAAACATAACGATACATATATGCAAATTGTATAAAACAGCACAAAAAAGGGGAAAAACAATTTTTTCATCAACAGAAAATCTCCAATTTAATCCACGCTTGCAAAATGCCAACTTTAAAACTATCCGTGATGAATGACGCTCAAAATGTCTGCCTGCAAGTTTTCCAACATTTTTTTAGGAAAGTGTACAATATTTTTTTTATGAGTTATTTAGTTTAGAATTTATTCCAATAATAAAATAATATTCCAATGTATAAAAATATATTTTCAGGTGCAAGCACTAGCACTTGCCTTTTTATTAGCAGCAACATTCATGAATACCTATATGAGATTCAACCCAATTCAAATCCGAAGTCACAAATAAAAACACATTCGTTTTTATTCAAATGCACATTTTGATACATGTTTGCTTGAATAGATTTCTTTTTTAAATCTAAATATACATTCAGAATTTGTTCACTAAGCAGTCGATAATCACTCATGGTCATTGAGTTAATTAATAACAGTTTGATAGACTAGATGAAATATTCAAAAATAATAATGAACAATTTTCAATTTTTTTCGCTAATCTTTTTTAGATATTTAAAATTATTACTAACCGATTTTATTTGGTCTAATCAACTTCACATAAGTTTAATTCTACCATATCGCCATCATACGCCATCTACAGTGGTAGGAACACGATATAAACTCAAAATTTAACTCAGATTTTATTTCTCTTTGTGCCCATTTGAAATGTTTGGCGAGCATTGCGGACTACTAAACATTTTAATTAGATTTTATTTTATTGCATTTCAATTTATAACATGTTTTTTTTCAATGTTGTTGACGTTGTTGATGTTTGTTGTTGTTCATAATTTTATGTTTAGTTCGTTTTTATTCGAAACTAACCTTATATCGAAATTTAGTTTGTTAATTAAAATTTTATTCTTTATTTAATTTTAGACTCGAATTTAAATTTAATTTTTTAACGTTGAATAATTACAAAGCTAACCTGCGAATTTAAACAAATTTGCTGAATTTTCTACAATGAATGTTGTTGTTGCTTCTAGAAGCTTGTTGTAGCTGAGAAAAATTATTCGTTAGACATTTATAATATAAATTATAGGATAATTTTTCAGAACTACAAACTGCATAAATTTAACTTAATAAATAAATATCATATTTGATATAGAAATGATTAGTTTTCCAACATATGGGTATAACAGTGAATGAATACCAATAAATTTACTACAAAACATATTTCTATCAATTTGAATATTATTATTATTCTTTTTATGGAAAAAACAATAAGCACACATAATTGCGCAACATTTATTGAACCTAATGTTGCCTGATAAGAATGGTTAGGGTACCTACTTTTAGGATTTTTGATAACTTTATATTAACGCAAGTGAATGTAACAACTTATTTAACAAAAAATTTTTTAAATTTCAGTTTCCACGTTGCGGAATGTGATTGGCCTTGCTGACCAAACCGGAAAATGAATTCATCTCAGGAAAGGAAGCGTGACACACTCGTTTCCTTGTCACCTCGTCGTCAGAATCACGTGACCAACCTTTATAATAAACAGATGAATTTTCAAGACAATGTTTGCAAAATTTATCAGCTAGAACAACAAGAGCAGCAGATAAAGAAAAAACTTTCGCAAAAAAAGTGTCATAACGTTTCGCAACAACCTTTAATTAAAAAACAACAAATTCAACATTCACAGCGTCAATTGCAACATGTTCAGCAACAAACAACACATTACCAAGTCGATAAATATCAAACGAGTTCGTACAGTAGTAGTTCTGAATTTTTTTCTAACAAACATTCCGTAAAAAAGCAACTGACTCGTCAGTTTAGGTTTGATTATGAGGGCATCCCGTATCAATGCCCCTTACAGAAACCGTTAAACAGAAATAGTTTTAGTGAAATTAAAAATTCTACCTCTAAAACATTTTCAAATACAACAGAAAATTTTGACACTGCTTTATTAAAAAACAATTCAGCAAACAATATGTCATCTGGCATTAATCTTTCTAATAATGGTAGCACAGAATGCTTGATTGATGGAAATATTAAAAAGAAATGTTTATCGTTAAGAAGTATTGATCTGCACAGTGTTAATTCATTACATATAAAAGAAAGAGTTCGAATAAACGTTAGTGGACAAATATTTGAAGCCAGGTCGAACATTTTAAACCGTCATCCATCAACACTGCTCGGCAACCGTGGCAAATGGGAAAAATTTTATGACGAAGAAAGAAATGAAATTTTCTTTGATCGCCATCGTCCAAGTTTTGAGGCAATTTTTTTTTATTACCAGTTTGGTGGTTTAGTCAGAAGGCCTTACCAAGTACCAAATGAAATATTTCTCGAAGAATTGTTATTTTATGAATTGGAAGAAGATGTGATAGAAGAATACAAAAAATCAGAAGGATACAGCGTAGATGAAATAATTCTGCCAAACAACCCAACTATGAGATATATTTGGAATCTTTTTGAGTACCCAGAAACGTCTAAAACTGCTTTTGCCATAGCTGTTCTGTCTGTCATCATGACAGTTGTATCCATTGTTTTGTTTTGTATTGAAACTCTTCCAAAATTTTCTCAAAGCCACTGCGTGGAAGACGAAGCTCCTAATTTTCTAGATCCATTTTTTGTTATAGAAACTACATGTACTTTATGGTTTACTATAGAATTAGCGGCTAGATTTTTAAGTTGCCCCAATAAACTAGAATTCTGGAAAGATCTAAAAAACATTGTTGATTTTACAGCAATAATTCCATATTACGTTACTCTTGCCAATGTTCTATCAACGATGAGTTGCAGCAGTGCTAAATCATCAGCATCCTTGTCTTTCCTTAGAGTCATTAGATTAATTAGAATTTTCAAACTCACCAAGCACTCTGTAGGACTTCAAATCTTGCTCTTGACATTTAAAGCCAGTCTCGAAGGTCTAGGTCTCTTTTTAGTCGCATTAGTAGTTTCACTTCTCGTATTCTCAAGTGCAATCTATTATGCAGAGCTTGGAAATCCTAATTCCCAAATGGACAGCATACCCGATGCATTTTGGTGGGCAATCATCACCATGACTACTGTGGGCTACGGAGACAAGGTTCCCGTCGGAGTTGAAGGAAAACTGATCGGAGCTGCCTGCGCAATAACGGGCGTTCTAACTTTAGCCATTCCTGTTCCGATTATAACAGGACATTTTAATCGGTTCTACGCTCACAAAACTGGTAGGGGAAGACATATCTAACTTTTTAAAAAACTTTAATAAACCCAATTTAAATAGCATTTGTAGACCATCATATGAATTAACTATTATAATTAAACATTATCTGCTCAAAATACCTATGCAGTTATCAGCAAAGAACATAAAATAACTTCAAAAATTAAGTTGCACGTTAATTATTCTCAGCGTCTCTAGAACGCTGCTTAATCCCTGCATTCTGCTGATTATTATTTATTTTTAAAATTATAATTTGTTTGCTTTTTTGATAAAATATTGAGTAAAATAATACTCATTATAATTGTTTTATTATTTCAGTCAACTTATTGATTAATTTTCTAAACGAATAAATTTAAAATGATGGAAAATGTCAGTTTTATGTTTATTTCACAATATTTCAGTTTTTACAACAGGTAGTAAAAATTTTTAAAATGACAAAATGTTTCATTTTTATCTTGAAAAAATAATTTCTAAAACAAAATTCATTCAAAAAACATTGTTTAAATTCCTAATTGGTATTATGCACGTGTGTTCAGCACGGACAATTAGACGACACAGTCATTAGCGCAGGCAGTAGGTGCAAGAACAATATTTTAACGTGTGATTGTGCACATGTGTACGTACGTGCGTGCGTGTATGTACACGTGCGCGTGTTTGCTATAAAACTGTACGACTATGCGTCTGCCATTAACCTACTTTCAGTAAACAAACATTGAAAAACCTTCGCGAAGACAATTTGTTCTTTCTCGTCCGATGATTGTACAGAGATTGTTGTAAAACTATACAGACATGCCCTACTCAAGAGGCTTGAAAAATGCAAACCTGATTAATAGTTGATGATTTTTTTAATTAAATGTCATAATTTTATGTTCTTCCTTTTGACAAAATTTTTCAATAAACACTACAGCAAAAATTCATTTTATTTTTCGATGGAATGGAATGGGAAAATCAAATAGTTTTTGTCTAGTTATAAGTGCTTGGTTTTTAAAAAGTTTCACTTTGCACTAATTGATTAGTAAATTTACTGTTGGTCAACTAACAATTCACAGAAATAAATGAAGCAACACATTCATAGCCCTCAGTGATAATTCTTATCGCTTGACTAACAAAAAACAAAACGTATATGACATTTAACGTGCGTATAAGCTAAATAACTTGGAAACTTGTAATCAACCAAATTCATTTTTCGTTCTTACTGAAAAACATTATTACAGACATGTCTATGAGGCTGCTACAAGAGTTCCACAATAGTTCTTAAGTTTTGTTTTTTTAATTTTATTGAACCAAAAATTTTAAAAGCATTAACTTTTAATGACTTTTAATCCACTAAATTATTACTATAATTTACTTCATGGGAGAGACAATCCTAAAAGAATGAAGAATTTTATACAACCAGAAGTTGTTGCAATCCGCAAACCTCAAATTTTTCATGTTACCACTATGCATCACTACCCTCAAATAACTTGCAGATTTTTTCCCCATTTCATGCACCAGTATGTACCTTCACAATTTTCATTAAAATGTTTCAACATTGATAAACAGAATATATGAGGTTGTTTAATGTTAATAACATAACACAAATTTATCACTTGCCTGAAATTTTCGTAAATATTTCGCTTTTTTTACCTTGTAGTGGTAAAACTTATTCTCACTCCACTTAGTAATATTCCCAGCTTTTCAAAAGTACGCTGAAGACACCTCTATGACCTATGTGAACGTTATTTAAATTAAATATTTGTTGCAAGTTTGATATCTGAAAATATTTAAAAATTATTCTTAATAGCAGAATTATAAAAACTTTCATTCACTTGAAACGACTGTCATGAACAACGTTTACGAAGTAATAATAGTAACAGAGCAGTCAGAGGAAAAACCGGCAGAACAGAAACAGAACACAATGGTTGTTAATGGTGATAGACTCAAACAGTGAGCCGTCCATGCTTTTAGAGCGCATAATTTGATTTTGTATGCAGACAACAGCGTCTAACGAAATAACAAGAAGACAAGTTGAACGGCATGATGTGTGTTGATAGACTGCTGGTTGTGCAGAGCGATGAATGGAAAATTTCTAGTATTTTTGCCATATTTCTTTCGCTATACATGTTTGTACATTTGTTAATAATTTACATTAAATATTTAACGATCAACTCTGTTAAAAACTCGTTCTAACTTTTAACGACCAGCTTTAAAATTATTTTACGATTTCTTAAAATTAGCTCTAAATTATGGCGTTTTGTTAATAAAAATAAAAAAAATCATTACACATGGGTTTTGAACAAGTTTTCGCACTTCAACAAATTTTGTTTGTTTCTAACATTTGTAGCAAATAAGCACAGGACGGTTGCCTGGGCGAACACAACGACGGTTGTGTTTGGGATTTCTATGCAAAGCTAATTTGTATTAAATGAAATGTTTCTTTGTCACTTGAGGTTTTTTATTATATTTTCAACAGTTGAGTCAATGATATTTGAAATAATCATAAACCGTTTTAATATTTTATTAGAAATGGTTCAATAAGCATTCAAAATAAACATCAATCAAGTAAATGTTTAAAAACATTTAAACGACTCTCGGTGATGTTAGATTCCGTTTAACTAACCCAATATAAAATTTATCGAACGTGGTGTTCAAAAGAGCTTATTAGATGGATGCTGGTTAATGAAACGCAGGAAACAAACAATTGAATCAATTAATGAGACATGATTACAGCTATGATTCGTGATTCGTGTTTTCACTTTATTTCAAAGAATTGTGAAATGAAAAACATTTGTTAGAAAGATGACTTCAAAGTAATTTTATGTAGTATGGTTTCTTTCCATTTTTGAGAAGACGGGTTATGTTCGTTTCTGGGAAGCTTCAAAAAATGGTTCAAAAAAGTTCTGTTGTTAAAATTAAGAAGTCGGCCTTTCCGTCCAATAACTGCAACATACTAGAAGAGAAGATTGTGGTTGGCTATCTAAGAAATTAAGTTATGAACAGTGCCCTACATAAAACAGTAACAAAACAAATTGTTAAATTTTCTTTATGTTAAATATAAGAACGATATGTAACTCACAAAAATTTACACTACAGCTGTTTGATGATGCTCCAACCAGCTATTAATAAGAAAACTCACAATATAATAATTATACCATCATCTTAAAATGTTTCAATATTTCAATTTTAAAACTTTTAGCAGCTATTACAAAGGTTAAATTTAATGTGGAAGAGACTTTTGTGGAATTTTATGAAAAATTTGGCAGACAACAAAATTTAAAAGATCTACTTGAGTGCCAAATATATAAATAGGCCTAAATGAATTTTATTTTTAAGCGTTATTTCAAGTAAACGTTGATATTCATTGCCTACATTTTGTTTAATTATAAGTAATAATTTTTGTGATTTAGTAATTTTATGTGTATTTTTGAAAAAGAAAATTTAACCGATAAATTTGGTCTTGGTTTTTGAGTTTTAACATCTGATACATAACTACGTCATCAGACAACATCTACGAAATATCAGACCATGCTACAGAGCAGAATTGCAATCGATCAACTCGATGTTACAACCTCTAAAAATGTGTGTTTAAGAGGTGCTGGAAGTTGATATCGTCGATTCGATTGTGACATGACAAGATACGTACCAGAGTCATTTGCTCATTTTTGTTTGGAATGTGTCTTTTTGTAAGTACTACTGGTACACTTCAGAATGATCTTTATTATGAGTCAGACATTTTGATTATCTGATAAATTTATAAAAGTCACACAGTACTGCTCACAGTACTGAAACTTCTTTACTCAAAATACACAATGATATCCTTCTCTCTAGTGACAATAGTAATCTTACTCTTCTTCTTGCTCTTGACTTTTTCTCGGCTTTTGATACTGTTGACCATACTATTCTCTTGAGACTGCTGCATCATTCTTTTAATATTACTGATTCTTGTCTATCTTGGTTTTCTTCTTATCTCTGTAATCGTTTTTCTTCAGTTGTTCTCATTAATTCTACTTCTAACTCCTCTACTCTTACTTTCGGGGTACCTCAGGGTTCTATCCTTGGCCCTCTTCTATTTATACTCTATACTTCTGAACTACCTCTTATTATTAATAACTTTTCTTTCTCTAGTCAACTATATGCTGATGATTCTTACATTTATACTTCTTTTCTCCATCTAATCTCAATAGTGTTCTTCATAATTTATCTCTATGTCTTTCTTCAATTATTGCTTGGTCTGACTCTATGTGTCTTAAACTTAATCCTTTTAAGTTTGAATTAATTTGTTTTAATAAATCTAAACACTCTATTACTATTCCTCCTATTATTTTACCTGATTCTAAAACTTTTGATGTCTCTCATAAGTTTCGTAGTCTAGGTTTCATCTTTGATTCTACTATGTCTCTCTCTTCTCAGATTAATAGTGTTGCTAGAAGCTCTTACTTTCATCTACGTAGAATAAAACAACTTTTGCCTTTTCTTGATGACCCTACTTTTCTCCTTCTTGTTACTTCGTTAGTCTTATCTAGGATTGATTATTGTAACTCGCTCTACTATGGTCTTCCTGACTCTATACTCTATCCTTTAAGTAAAGCTTTTAACTCTGCTGCTCGTCTAGTTGCTCGTGCCCCTTTCTTTTCTCATATATCTCCATATCTTGTTCTCTTGCATTGTTGGCTACCTATAAAATATAGAATAAAGAATAGAATAATTTTTAAAATTTGCACGTTCATGTATAAGTCTCAATCTAAATTATTTCCTAAGTATTTATCAGATATATTAATTGAACCTAAACGCCCCGGTTTACGATCGTCTTCTTCTTCTCGCTTTTTCTTAACTCGTGTTAAACACTCTTTTGCTAAATCTGCTTTTGCTTTTTCTGTTCCTTTTCTCTGGAACTCTCTACCTACTTCTCTGACTACTTCTCCATCACTTGCGAAGTTCAGAGCGGATCTCAAGACCCATCTGTTTTCAAAATTCATTGAGGAGCGCTGTTGAACATCGCGGAAATAGCGCTTTATAAGCTAATTGATTGATTGATTGATTGATTGATTGATTTGATTGATTGATTGATTGATTGATTGATTGATTGATTGATTGATTGATTGATTGATTGATTGATTGATTGATTGATTGATTGATTGATTGATTGATTGATTGATTGATTGATTGATTGATTGATTGATTGATTGATTGATTGATTGATTGATTGATTGATTGATTGAAAAGTCTCATCCACTCATCTTTAACTTTGTCAAACTCAGTTGAACACTCATCATTTCGTCGTTTATCACATCCTTTTTGCCTAAAGTCTTTTAAACCAACATTCATATCTGTTGTAATATAATCTAGCAAATGACATGGATTCCTTACAAATGGTTTGAAGTTGAATCTGCAGTTTTCCTGATTGAATTAAATAGGTGAATGCAGCCTTCTACTTCCGATCATCAGAAACATCATTGAGTCAGCTTAGATAATTTTATGAACCGGCTTAAAATTTTAAATATACATCTTACATAATTGATGTACTTTAATATTTTACGAATTAAGATATCAAAATTAACAAATTGTAAATATTGTAAGTGTCACAGAACCATATACTTTGAAAATACATAGAATATTCTATATAAATGTCAAATAGAGAACTAATAACTGACGTTTCAACACTCAACACTCTTTCTGTCTTATTTTTATCGTAAGTTCTCTTTTAAATTCTAAACTGGGCAAAAAAACACTTTAAGGTCGTATTCTTATATTTAATATGGCACACATGTAAATGTTATGCATGCATAATGTGTATAAAAATAAATAAATGAACGTGCTGCGTTTGATATAATTGTTTGGCCTAGTGAGCCGAAATGTAAATAAATGCCTGTGGTTGATTGATTTGATTGATGACCCGGTGATTTTCTGGAAAAGCTGTAGTGTGGTGTGCTTGTTGTTTTTATACTATAAATAACTATTAACTATAGCCAGCCAGCGTTAAAATACAAAAGGTTGAAATTGGCGTATTGTTGATTAATTTTATTATTAGTAATTAGTTGCTAGAAATATGTGCCGCCTACTCTTACTGACTGATTTAGTATGGATCATGATCATTCGAGCTCAACACATAGCAACAACACTATTTTTTTTTGTATTTATTTAATTATTTTTAATTTAATTATTTATAATTTTATATTAAATTTTGATATATAAAATAATTGGTGTGCTGTTTGATTTGACGAACAATACACTCCTATTATTTATATTTATTTATTTATATTTTTATAATAAGTTTGTTACAATGGTTATTAATATAAAATAAGTATAAAAGTGTAAGTGCAGTGGCATGAATGTTACTACCACTTTGATTTATATTTGGCACCAAGACCAAAAGTTTGGTTAGACCTTTTTCTTAGCTTACTAAGCTTTAGCCTTTTATGTTTTAGCTTAGGCAAAATTTATTTAGGAAAAGAATGACAGGGGCAAAAACAAAGATCACAAAAAAAGAAAATAATTGTGAAACAACAAAACAAATTCAAAGAATTTCAACCGTAAACGTTTATTATATATATATATTTGTATAAATAAATGAATAAATATATATATATGATATAATATTTTTTGATAAACCTAGTATGAATATGCACAAAAATGTGCCTGATCATGCGACAAGGTTAACCTGGAGTTTTCATCACCAGACCCTGGAACAAACACCGGTGCTTCTGCTTCCCCGGGTAGAGCACCTATATACCTATAATAAACGTACATGATGAGGATGATGATGATGATATATATATATTATGTATATATATATATATATATATATATATATATATATATATATATATATATATATAAAGCATGAAAGCACTCATAGATGTGCCCAACTCAAATCATTATTTATTGATTGAATTAAAATTTAGATGTTCTAAAATTCATTTTAAATTATTTTGAACTTCATCAACAGATCAGTTGTTCTACATCCATTCACTGGTTCTATTTTTATCTGTAATCAATCCAGTTGCATCTTTAAAGTGTTGGTATGCATGGGAGACATCTTTTTTCAAAGTTGAGATGGAAGTGCAGTTGTGGCAGAGTGCTGCTGAGATCAAATCATTCCTCTGCGAAACATGACGAAACCACTTTAAGCAAAACCAGTTATTGTGAAGTTTCTAAAGTTTCTAAATCAAGAACAAATTCTCCTATTCTAAAAAATCTGTTTGTTGGTCACCTGGATACTGTAAGCAATAATTGAATAGCTACTTATTTTTATAATTGTGTAAACATTTTTAATGATAAAATTAATATGTTTTTAATATGATTTGATTCCTAGAATGTCTTGATTTTCCCAGAAGCTTTGACAAAACGTGAATTGGAAACATTCAATAGTAAAGTGATTGTTCCTATTGAAAAATCATTAGAAGCTTTAGGTATAAAAATTATTTGTCATAATTTATACCTTCAGACAGATCCAAATGTGTTCTTAATTAATTGTTCAAGCTGGATTAGTTCTTAGCCTAAGTTGCTTAATTAGTTGATTAAATATCCTGATTATATTACTTTTATTACAAAGGGGTTAAATTTAATTTTAAATTAGTAAAAAGTTGCTTTACTTTAAAATTAATGGATCAGTTGCATGCTTCGTGCTATATGGTGGTGATGGTTGAATACATGCACTCATGTCTCAATGGCCACTAAATTTTTAAACTATTTCGTTTTGTCACTGAAATTAACCCTATTACAAAATAAAATGAAGTAATTCCCGGGTGGTAAGCAGATATCAATTTATTTTTATGAAAGTGGGAAAAAGAATTAATTATATGAAAATAAATAATTGGCAGCATGGTTTAACAACTTAATTAAATGCAATTAAAAAGGAAATCATTTTGTTCAAAGTTGATTAATTACAATTAAAAAGCAGGAGAACGGTTATAAATTTAATTTTCTCTCTTCATTCTAGATAAAGAAAATGGTAAAGTGAATGATTTTCTTGATGCTGTAAAACAATTTGGTTTATTTGGCCAGAATGTTGAAGAATCTCATGGTTAATTAAATTTAATCATATATCATGTAGTTAAAATGAGTCAATTTTTTTTATAAATTTTTTCAGGTGGCAGAAACTTTAGTTCTACTGAAATGTTAAGATTATCTGAATTATTTGCTCTTAATGAACCGATAAGCAACATTCTGTTCAACCACAACAGTCTCGGCATGAAAGTTAGCAGTCTTCATTTTCGGTTGTCTTCTTGTGAACTGTTCTTATATTAACCTGCATTTTTCAGTGCTTATCTTTGTTTGGAACGGATGCACAAAAGCAGAACTACCTACCGAAATTAACTTCTGGTGAAGGAGGCATTGCTTTCTGTGTTTCAGAGTTAAACTGGTTTGTAGCTTTTTAGTTTTGTCTCACCTAATTTCATTTTAATGGCCATTATATTGATCAATTTAATGAAATGTTTTTCACAGTGTTTGTAAGCTTATCTTTTTGGTCCTTGGCATGACATAAAACTGCTTCCACGCTGCCTTGCATGCTTTTGAGCAAAAGGCTAGGCCTACCTCTTATAACTGGTGGTTGTCGTCAGGATGGGTGTCCGGATGTAAAAACTTTTCCCCAAATTACTTTTATGCCATCACAAAGAAAAACAACGGCCCTTAGTCTCCAGCAGGCCTTAAGTGATCAAGGGGTGCCAAGAATAAATGAAATGGATACAACTGATCATCTAATTTGGCTCAAAAAGATGATGGCAAAGAAAACAACGTCCTACCTCGGGGAACCGGGTCTCTGGACGCAATACGAAGATTGATTGATTGATTGATTTTGTAAGCTTATCTTTGTAATTTTTTTGAGTTCTATAATAGAAGTAATTGTGGTAGTAAGAGCAGTTGCAGCAGGGTATCAGTGGTATTTACAGAAGCAGCCACATCTGAAAAGTTGGAAAAACTGCATGAAAGCAGCAAGCCTGAATTGATTGCCATTGTTATTACGCTCTACCTTTAGACACGGTGTGCTGGTGATGATGATAACGCTGCTGTCGATGATGGGGATGATTGTTATAGTGATGGAAGTCTGTTACAAGCATGATGTCGGAGTCAGTTGCATAATCTCCGATTCCAACAGACTCCGACACTGGTTACAAGTTCATTCATCATACTTAGTGATACCCACACTTACATGTGTCACCCCAGCTCACTTCCAATGCTTCATCTTTTTTTACATGACATTTTAACAACAAACCATCAACCATTCAGCCGTTCTAAGTCATCAGACATGTTATGCTGGTTTTTTGTAATATTCTCAATACATTTCTTTTTTTGTAGCTTTCGTTATCAAAACTTCAGAATTTGTAATAAGGATTTACTAACTTCAGGAGATACCAACTTCTATTTTAATTTCAGAATAACCCATAGATTTTGTTCATTTACGTTGTGAATGTGTGCATTTTAATTTTATGTTCATTATACTCTATTGAAAGAGCACTTACATCACTGAGGACATCCTGCCATCTTTGACCAAGGTGGCCCATCACAACAACAACGCTCTTTTTGTATCTTTTTATGATTGTTATTATGATTGTTATTATGATTGTTATTATAAATATTGTTATTATTGTTATTATTATTATTATTATTATTATTATTATTATTATTATAGTTATTATGATTGTTGATATGTCGACAGTGGCAGCGACCTGTCAATGGTTGATTCCACGGCCAACCTATCAGAAGATGGCAGTCACTACCTGATCAATGGACAGAAGACTTGGGTGCAGAATGCAACCAATGCTGATGTCTTCATTGTTTTTGCTAAAACTAATGTATCAGCAAAGCAGGTGATTTTTCATTTCTGCCCACATTTTTACACGTAAAATTACCAACCACGATTTTGAAAGGATAAAGTTGAAGAAAAAGTTACGGTTTTTCTGGTGGAGAGAGAAGGAGTAAAAGTGAGTGAGCCCTATCAAACCATCGGTCTCAAAGATGTTTCCGGTTCGATCATTTTGTCTTCACATTTTTTATCTTGTTCTGCCACATGCAGCTTTTTTTTTTATTTCAAAGTTTCACAGTTACTTTAAAAATTTTGAATTTTTGAGCACAATTATTATCAGTATTAAGTTTTAATTTCTTAATATTTTATAAAAACTCATTTTGAATGTGTTTTGTTTTAACTTAAATTTATCTTAAATTCTTTATTTCTGAAATTATCTTTTAGAAATTTAACCAACAACAAATTTCTAATATTCTTTATTTCTATTACGAAATTAAACTTCTTCAATTTATGTTTTATTAATAGAAAAAAAATATTTGAACTAACGCTTCTAATATAGCCACATGTTCCAATTTCCACACACGGTTATATTATTCTCACCGAGTGCATGCATACAACATGTGTTAGTTCATTCTCAGTACGTGCATACACAATTGTACTTCATTTTCACTTGAGCGCATGCATACACAACATGTGTTAATTCATTCACAGTCATACTTTATCATTCAATACACTACACCCCTTCTTCCTTAATCTCAACTCTTTTACCATCCATACCGCTGCGGTGGAATTCCTTTGGTAGTTCTAGTTGAACATCACAAAGTTGGGTTTTAAATTTGTTCCTTGATCACAGCTGGTTGCTGCTCCAAAATCTCTGGCTGTCGTAGATCCACTGCCCTTGGTTGCTGAACTGTCTCACTCGGCATCATAGAATCAACAGTACCGTTGGGTTCCATGTTTGGTAAAACAATTATGTCACTTTTTTGTTGAGTTCTGCAGTCTTCCTAGCGACTCAAAAGATGATCTACGTGTCATTTCCATGGTTTTTCATACCCTTCAACTTGAACCATGTGGGTCGTTGATTTGTACTGAATCGAATATTTAAAACCTTGTAAAATCAAAGCCCATCTTTGAATACGTCGAGATGTTCGGTTGGGAATAGGTTTATCCGGTGATAGCAAAGTCAATAATGGTTTGTGGCCTGTAACCAACAAAAATTTTTTTCTATACACATATTGTTGAAATTTCGAAATACCAAAATAAGCCTATTTTTCTGCTTGAGCGTAATTTTGTTGTGTAGGGTTTAATTTCTTAGAAGCATAAGCGATTGGCTTTTCATCGCCGTTTGAAAAAATGTGAAATAACGTTGCTTCAACTCCATAATTAGACGCATTTACTGCTAGCCCAATTGGCTTCAATGGGTCGAAATGACACAATACTGGTGCTTTAGATAACTCATCTTTGACCATAGAAAATGTTTCATCATGCTTTTCTGTCCATTTCCATTTATTTTTTTCTTTAGTCAGGTTATACAGTGGTACTAAAATATCTGCCCAAATCTGACAGAATTTTCGATTGTAATTGACTAATCTTAGAAATGATCGTAATTCATTGACATTTTTCGGTTTTGGTGCCATTTTGACAGCCTCGACTTTATCTGGTGTTGTGTGCAGTCCATTTTTGTCAATAGCATGACCCAGATAATTTACTGAAAGTTTTCCAAAATGACATTTCTTCAAGCATAATCTCATTCCAAATTCTCTGGCACGTTGAAATATTTTGTTTAATCGCTCCAAGTGTTCTTCCTCTGTACGTGCCGCTACCAAAATATCGTCCATAAAGGTTGATGTTCCTTCTAATCTACGAACTATCTGATCCATAGTACGCTGAAAAATTGCTGGAGCCGACGCAATTCCAAACGGTAGACGTTTTATCTATACAATTCTTTTCTCGTGTTAATTACTAAGTATTTTTGTGCTTCATCGTCAAGTTCAGTTTGATGGTAGGCTTCGGCCAGATCCAAGGTTGAAAAATACCTGCATCCTCCCAATTTCGCAAAAAGGTCTTCAACTCTTGGTAACCGCTCCACCATCAATGCTTTGTTAATGGAAACTTTAAAATCTGCACTCAATCGAACTGCTGTTCCTTTTTTCCACGATAACAATAGGTGATGCATATTCGCTGATGTCTCTAGGTACACGTTCAATGATTCCCCTTTTTTTCATTCGTTCTAATTCGAGGTAGACTTTCTTTTCAATAGAAAATGGAACTGGTCTGGGTTGCCAGAATTTCTTATTCGGTATTTTCTTGAGCGTGATGCTGGCTTTAATACCCTTGATGCAAACTAATGCCTCGTTAAAAATATCTGTCTATTTGTTGCCAGTTTCTTCAAATCTTTATCAGCATTGTTGGCGAATTTATCCATCTTCGCTGAATTCATGTTTACTTTGTTTATACTGATTTTTCCTTTCCGACACTGAAAAAATCTATGCGTACGGTCTTGATCCATCTCACTCCAACCAAGGATTGTTGTCTTTTTAACAACATAGTACAATTGATTGTCAAATTTCTTTCCTTCGACTACTACGGTTCTTTTGCCACATCCGAATGCTGGAAGTTTATAATTTGATTTGAACTGTTTCTTACGTGATTGTAAAGTGGTTGAACCAATTTTTATCCAATCTTTTTTTTACTAATTATCGTCTCTAATGTACCTGTGTCTTCTTCACAAGTGATTCTACACTTGCAAATCTCCAAGTCAACGTATCGCTTTTTTAAGTTGCTTGTCTGATCATCCATATTAAAAATCTGAATATAGCTACTATCTTCCTGACTGTAGTTTGGGTCGTCTATTTCTTCTTCACCCTTCTCAACTGCTTTAGCCCTGGTCAAATTTTTTTGCTTCAATTGATTTTTCCTCTCTTGGATGGCAATTTTTTTACAAACTTTTGCTATTTTATTTATTTATTTCAAAACATTTGTACAGCGCAAAATAAATAAAAAGAAAAATAAACAATTGTTTGAGTACATGCACGGAAAGATAAACAATCATTGATTACAAATCAGAGCGGTAAATGTCCGTCAATGCATACAATGTTTAACCTAAGTGTCACATGCTATAATTAGCTGCAGACATTCGAAAAACAGCAAAACAAGATCAGATTGAAAACAGATAAGACTCTTCTTGAAGGCATCGATGGTCATCTCCGGTTTCTTCAAAGACTCTGGCAGACCATTCCATAACGCCGGACCCGCAACAACAATGCTTCGTGCACCAGTACACAATTGAGCACTGTTTGCTATCATTAAGTTTGAGCGATGACTTCTCAAGCAAATGTCCTCCGAAGTAACTGATTTTTTCTTATTTATTTCTAACAAATGCATTGTGACCATTCAACCCGCATTTGTAGCATTTTGCCTCCATAAATTTTTAAATCCCTTCATGATTGAATCCGCAGTGTTTGCATTTCCGATTGTTTCCGTTCTGTTGTACTAACATTGTTTTCTTTTTTCGTTTTTCACCTCCTTGCTTTAGTGAGTTGATTATTTATTTGCCCTGAAGTAATTCTGCTGTCTTGTGGGCTCTAGTATATCCTTCCACAACATTGACTACGTTTCCTACATCTAAATCCTGGCGCGTAAGTAAATCGGCCTGAATATTTTGGCTAGCCAAACCAAAAATAAATTGGTCTCTTAGTCGTCGACTTTCCGGTGCTGTAGCATCAGCAGCGAAATCGCTTATCAACGCCAATTGTCTCAACGCTTATATATATTTTCTTGGTGTCTCATCGATGTTCTGTTATCTTTAGCTAAATTGAAATCGTTCCTGGATTTCCAATTGCTGGTTTCAATTATTGACTTTACCATTGCTGCGATTTCGTTGAATGTGTGATTGTCGGATGCATTTCCTGCCTTCGTCCAGTATTGGCTGGTTAATCTTTTTCCCATATTTTTTCTTAGCGACGTTTTTCGTTTTTCTTGGTAGATCTCATCATCAGGAATATTTTCTATCAAAAAGTAATCTTTTTATCGTCTGACAAATCTATCCCAGGTTTCAAATTCTGGGTCAAACTCTTGAAATTTTCTCATCGTCAAAAAAACAGTACTTGTAATTGTTGCAATAATGATATTAATTCAAAGAAATATTTTTAACTCTAAAATAATTTTAATCCTCGTCGCCAATTTGTTGTGTTTCAATCTAAAGTTAACTTAAAATTTTTTATTTCTGAAATTATCTTTTAGAATTTTAATCAACAACAAATTTCTAATATTCTTAAACTTCTTCAATTTACGTTTTATTAATAGAAAAAATATTTTAACTAACGTTATGTCTCGCAGTCATTCGATTACTAATATGGCCACATGTTCACGGTGCATAAATACATGTGAATCAACGCATCACACACTTTTGCATGTGATAGGTGGGGATCTTTTTGCATTCGAACCCGGACACTGCATCAACAATGCCAAGTACTTTAGCCATTACACCTTATCTATGTTAATACTAACCTTCCAAACATTACACCAATCAACAATTCTGTCTAAACATCTATGCAAGCTAATCACATCCTCTTCTTTCCTTATAGGTTTAAAAACTTTAGCATCATCTGCATAAAGAAACAGGTTTGTATCATTGTCTCCATCGCAAACACTGAACATATCGTTAACATAAACAATGAAAAGCATAGGGCCAAGAACACTCCCGTTTGGAACACCACTGGTAATCTGATATTTTTCTGACAGACGATCTTCTACTTTTACAGAAAAAGTTCTATTTTTTAAATAATTTTGTATCCATCTAATCAGCCCATTACTGACACCATACGTTGTGTGATACCTTGTCAAACGTCTTTTCAAAATCGGTATAAATTATATCAATTTTGCCACCTTCATCCAATACTTTTGTCCATATGTCCATAATTTTCAAAAGTTGTATAACTGTAGACCTCTGTCTAGTAAATCCATATTGTCTGTAATCCATAAACTTTTTATGTTCAAAATGACAAATGACTCCAGCAGCTTACAAACAACACTACTCAAAGTAACAGGTCTGTAATTGCGTTTATCAGTCTTTTCTCCTTTTTTGAAAATAGGCGTAACAATATTGTCTCTCCAAGCATCAGGAATCAATCCATACCTCAAAGAAGCATTAAAAAGTTGACACAAAAAAAAGCTAATCGAAGAACAACATTCTTTCAAAACTCTGTTGTGGATGCCATCTGGTCCAGCTGATTTGTTCAATGCAAGCTTGTTAATACCTTGTACTATCTGTTCTCTATTAACAAACATATCATTTTCCATATCTGGCAATATCTTAACGTCTGTAACCATGCTCTCATTATCAACATCAACAATATAAACTAAACTGTAAAATGATCCCAAACAATTTGCCTTGTCCAGATTGTTTGTTATTAACATATCTTCATTTGCATCCCTGTTAACTAAGCAATCAGTCGTATGTTTATTCTTTTTTTACTATTGAAATGTTGCCAAAAAACTTTAGGATTATCTCTCACTTTTTTTATTAGAGTTAATTCTTGTTGATCCCTAGACAGATTTAATTCTTTCTTTGTATTTTTCCTGATGAGCTTTACTTCTTTAAAAATCAATGAATCACGAGTCTTCATGTATTTTTTCCATAATCTTTTCCTTATTTTTATCAATTCTTGCAACGATTTAATGAATTCACCTTTACAACTGTTCTTTCCCATTTTTACTACCGGAATATGTTCTTCAGTTGCCCTGTTTATTACGCTTGAAAAATGACACCATAATGAGTTTACATACAATCCTGGATCCGCCACAGACAACTAACTCATTGTTAAGCATACCATATAAATTTTTATGAAGGTACTTGTTCATCAACTCATACTCGCCTTTGTTAAAATTCAATCGGGTTTTATTTATTATTTCATGGGCACCATCAACGGTCAAGCCCGTTTCAAAACACAGAATGCGGTGGTCACTTTTACCAAGAGGGGGCAGGTGAACAAGATTTTTAATCTCATCTAATTCTTCCACTAATATCAAATCTAGAATATGATTAGCCTGCAGAGATCAATTTCTACACACGGTTATATCATTCTCACCGAGTGCATGCATACACAACATGTGTTAATTCATTCCAAGTACATGCATACACAGTTGTACTTCATTTTCATCTGAACGCATGCATATACAGCATGTGTTAATTCATTCACAGTTATATTTTATCATTCAATACACTACAGAATGTTTGTTAATTATTTTTTATTGGTTACATTACATTATTGTTCAATTCGATTTGGTCATCATGCTTGCTTGTTATTAATTTTTTTTAATTTTGAGAAACAAATAAAGTTACATTTTGTTGATTATTCCAGTTCATACAATTACATTGGAAGACACCAAAGTTCCAGCTGATAATGTTTTAGGAGAAGTTGGAGCCGGATTTCAAGTTTGTAACGTTTTTTCACTTCAGCGAGACTTAATTGTTCATAAGATATGAAAATTTATAAGCTAAATGCAGTGGTAGGCATAGTTTTACTGAATTATTATTATTATTATTATTATTATAGACGAGTTCCACGCGGGATATTACTGTGTCCGCTAGTAGTCTCCACTTTGGGCAGTCGTGGGCATGTCTCCAGTCTGACTGAATGTATTCCAGTGTTAACAAGCATTAGGTCCGCCTCCATTGAGCTCACCCAAATTAACTGAATAGTGGCAAACTAAAACAACTAATAACAAATAATAGTTATAGTCTATTTTTTGGTATTTTCATGCATAATTTAACTAAAAAAGTAGTTCAGTTAAAATAATAGTTTAACTAAAAAATTTAAGCTGCTAAATATATATTTAGTTAGCCATTCTTGCCAAATTACGACCTACCGTTTTTAAGTATGAATTTTAAACTAAAAATGCAACACAGTTAAAGTTTTTTATACTTTCAAAATTAACCTACATTTACATAACCTAGTGATTCTTTTGTATAAAAATAAATAATTATACTGTATAAAGTTGAACTGACAATATAAGACAATACAAATATTTTATATTACTGAATTTACTGTATACAGTTTTTAACCTGTTTTTTTTCAATTATAAAATTATTTTACAATAAAATGTATGTGTTATTAGCCTAACCAGATTCGTTATTTTAATGTTTTTGGCTTTCTTCAATTTTCTATCGTTCTAAGAGCCTTTTATACCAAGCTGTGGCACTGAAAAGAAAAACTGACTTTAATGAAGTTTTTAGCTAGAAAGGTTTTGAGTTTTGACTTTCTTAAGTATTTATTTCGAACAGTTATTTTAAAGTGATGTCTAGCAAAGACGTGACTTCAATGGCTTGTTATGTTACAGCATTGACATTGCTTCAGATTTTGTCTGCCAAGAAATAAAGAGAAAAATAGTTGCAAAATAGTTTGGAAAAGTCTAACTACTTTTTTTAGTTTAGTTAACTATTCTCGAAAATAAGTTTATAACTATTAGTTATACTATTTGTTCTTATATGCAAAATAGCTATGGTTTAACTAGTTGCCCATCACTGATTGTAAGTAGATTTTTAATATATGTATATCTACATGGATTGGACACAATTGAAAGTATCAGCAAGATTTTCTCATCATTTCAATATTCACAAATTTTGCTTTGGATCCAACTTAAGTTTTGAGTGCTCTTACATTCTTCACCAATATAATTTTTTAAAATTTCAATTCAGATAGCAATCCAAATACTCTACGGAGATCTTTTCATGAAAGGATCGGTGTATGCAAACATTTTGAAGGGTTTATCAGGTACCAGTCTTTTTTTTGACAATTATTTAGTGTTGTTTTCAAAATGTTAAACTAACGTTGCTAATTTATAACTGCATGGCAATGATAATGTACGTATGAATGGTGGATCCGAGATACACGAACGACGGTGATGTTGCTGAAGATGACGACGATGGTAACGACGACGATGATGGAGAAGACATCCAGGGCAAATCCAGATCTTTGGGGGACATGGATTTGGTTCAATTCCGGCTCTCAAGAGAAGGCGACGGAGCAGGATTGACGGAATTGCCCGCTCTGTCGACAAAAACCCCGTGGACATCCAGGTGGGGAGGGTTTTTTGCAACTGTTTGTTGGATCGACTGATTTGACGGTCCAATCGGCTCCACCGCAAGAAGGCAGTTGCTCCAGAGCCCAGGCACATCAACACCTGTTCTTTCTGCAACAATCATACAGATGATGTTCAACATATGTTTAGCTGTCCCCAAAACTCCACGGATCTTCAACCAGTAGACCTCTGGAGGAACCCTGTTGCAGTAGCGGATTGGATCCGACCTCGATTGGGTCCCCCGGAAGGGGCAGCAACAACAACACGACGATGATGGAAGTGTTGATGTGGAAAAGCTTATAATGAAAAAACATGTTATAGGGCAATTAAAATCTAAAAACAAAGAACATAAAATTTCAACAATACTCCCGACAAGAAGAACAATAATAAAATATACTAATAACACCAATAGCACCGTTGAAGACATTGATGAAAGTAACATCACCAAAGTGCTATCAAAGAACAAGTAAATGATACTAATAAAATTAGCACAATAAAACATGAATGATAATGACGACAAGAATTTGGCTAGAAATATTGAAAAATGTAATAAAAATTATCCAACGCTAGATATTCTGTAGATTTCATGAATTACTGGATTATTTTTAATAATATTAATAACGCATAAAATAATGATCCATAAAAATGATGAGCACCATAGAATGTTACTCTATATATATATATATATACATTGCAATATTCATAAATGTTGGAAGGAGATCATATACTGTATTGTATGAGTTCTACCGAATTGTTGGCATTAATCAATTTGAAGTTTGTTTTTTCAATTTTCCTTACTAGAATATATATGTATATTTATTATTCCTTACTAGAATGTATATATATATATATATTCTAGTAAGGAAAGTAGAAAAGACAAACTTCAAATTGATTAATGCCAACAATTCGGTAGAATTGGTACAATACTGTATATTGCAGTATATATAAATATATTACAACATATATACATATATTGCAATATATACGTATATATTGGAATCATTCATGAAGGGCAAGTGGCAAGCCACTGCATCAAAAGAAAACAGTTCGGAAAAGCATTGAAAGAATTTGGTTTGATACAAGTTGGTTGGTTTTCCAGATTGTCATTATTTGTTATTGGTTAAATTAGCCCCAACTCTAGTGAATTTTTATTACATTAAATATAGTAATATTTTTGTTGGAACGAACATTTTTTAGTATTTTTTTATAAGCCATTTCATAAGTTTGCTAGAACGCGCTGACTGACAATTCTCTAAAACCACATATGAAGACTTCTTCAAGTGTATAATGTCAGAAAATAATAATACTTTAGGAGAAGGTAGGCAAGATGACGTGTGATACGTACGCAATGGAAAGCATGAGTTACATGACTGCTGGCATTTTGGATCATTACTTGTCACCCGACGTTCTCTGTGAATCCGCTGCTGTCAAGGTATGTCTGGTGTCATGGTATGTCTGGTTCTGGTGTCAAGGTAAGTCTGGTGTGAAGGTATTTCTGTTGTCAAGGTACGTCTGGTTCTGTTGTCAAGGTATGTCTGGTGTTAAGGTATGTCTGTTGTTAAGGTATGTCTGGTTCTGGTGTCAAATATGTCTGATGTCAAGGTATGTCTGGTGTCAAGGTATGTCTGGCGTCAAGTTATGTCTGGTCCTGGTGTCAAGGTATGTCTGGTGTCAAGGTATGTCTGATGTCAAGGTTTGTCAGGTGTCAAGGTATGTCTGTTGTCAAGGTATGTCAGTTGTCAAGGTATGTCTGGTGTCAAGGTTTTTCTGGTGTCAAGGTATGTCTGTTGTCAAGGTATGTCTGGCTTACTTGGTGATGATTTATTTGATTGATTCAGCTCATTTGTTGATATGTTTTACATGTTCGTCGTCTACCTAACACATCCGGTTGAACATATTTATTGATACATTTAGCATATTGGAAACATAATTAAATAAAAGGTGATCTAATGAAAATGGAAAAATGAACGTGTTAACTGGGTTATAAATTTATTTGGGAGCTTCATATTTTGGTGGTTACCGTATTTCATTAAACTTTCAACAGTTTTTCAATTTTTTCTTTACACATGTATATGTTTATTCATTCATTTATTTTTATTTATAATTTATTAATTTCGCATCATCAGTTACACGAGTTTATTTGCCATCTGTTATTTAAGATATTCAGTAGTGAAAAGTTGGCATCAGGCCTACAAGACATGCAACAAATACTTGCTAGTTCATCCTGTACTTATGATAACCCTCTGTCGATTGCTAGGCACATTGACAACGCCAGAATGAACACAATAGCTAATGTGAGTTTTTGAATTTTGTAATACCTTCATACTCATCGTTAAAATCGACTTCGGTTAAACGACTTCATATTTTAAAAAATTTTTGGCTGTAGAATGGCATCAATGAATATATAGATATCATTGTACATGTTAATGTTCAATTATTTCATGGACGAAAATAGATGCTGTTCTTACCCTGCTAACCTGAATGCAATACATAAAACTAGCTGTTCATATGTGGAAATGTCTGCCAGCTTAAATGACGTCTCAAGCATAGCGGGCGATGAGGCACGTGCCTCTAAACTAAAGATACATTTACGTGTTTTGAGTGTATTTGTCCCATCTGACTAGCTCACGTGTCCAACTCAAATGTCTGCACCGTTTATTTGGCTCAGCTGTTTATCTTATTTATTTTCCTTATCAATCAATCAATCTTCGTTTAGCGTCCGAAGACCCAGTTTCCCGAGGTAGGACGTTTTCCTTAAGGCTTACCTTATAAATAAATCTGTTCCTTCGCGAATTTTCTTTTCCTGTATCTTTCTCAAATACCTCTCCTATATCAAATATTCTTCTAGCTCAAATTTCTATCTCGTTATTTATTTAATTTTTGTTAGCAGAGTAACTGAAATTTATTAAAGTTATAATGTTATTAATAATTTATGTTAAAAAATTTTCAGTCAACAAATGAAATCCTGAGATTGTACATAGCTTTAAATTGTTTGCAACATGCCGGGTTGCAAATGCAAGAAACTGTCAGGTAGTGTGGTTCATGGTGCTGTTGAGTTGTTGCCGTATAAATGAGAATGTTAACTGTGTTGATGAGTTTATCATGTTTTTATACATTATGTTTTAATTTATTATATATTTTTTGTTTTTTTTTTAATTAATCAATAATTCTTTTTCAGAAAAATGAGAAGTCCATTATATAATTTGGGATTTGTCTTCAAAGAAGGATGGGACTCAATGAAGACCAGTGGAAAAAATCCTGCTTTGACTTTGAAATTGTATCAGCATGTTCACCCTGATCTATCGGTTCGTCAGATGTTTGTATGATCTGTTGGCTGGCTGGTTTGCTGGCTGGTTGGATGAATGATCTGTGTTATGGTTGGATGTTTGCAATGCTCTCACACTTTTAGTTGTGCCGAAGTAACACTTACAAATGAATGTTTTAGTTTGAATGTTGGTACTGTTACTTCACAGGGGTAAACTCAGTCTAAAAACATTCGAAATTATTAATGCATTAGTGACTTTAGGGATTCAGTCTTTCAATTTTGAAGTTACTTGTAACGTTTTTAAGGTTTTAAGGTTTTTTTTAAGGTTTCCATCCACATAGAATTTTTTTACAGTTATAAAAAATTTTAATTATTAAGTCAATGTTTGTGTCTGAACTGAACTCTGCCAGAAGAACTAAATACCTAATGTGTTTTGTTAGGGGAGAGTTATGATTCTTTTCGCTAATTTCATTATAATGAGATATTTGTTATGATTTATTTAGTTGATCTGGTTAACTGCTAAAATAGTTTCTGCTTGTTTAATTTATTTTTGCGTCTGTGCATATATATATATATATATATATATATATATATATATATATATATATATATATATATATATTATTATTGAAACATTTATGAAGCGCTAATTAAAGGAATCTCAAAAGCGCTATCTAACAAAAACTGAACTTAACAACATAATTGAAATAACAAACGAGAAATCATAATACGTCGCACAGAAATAAGATTAAAATTTGGTCATAAACAGAAAAGTAATCGATTCAATAAAACGAAAATACGAAATAATATTTAGAATAATAATATCAGAAAGAATCGATCAATAATGCATCACAATGAAAATAAATGAGTTTTCAGTTTCTTCTTGAAGTCACGCAGGTTTAGGTCCGGATTTCTGAGAGCAGCAGGCAGGTTGTTCCAAACAGTTGGTCCAGAAACAGCAATGTTAAGAGAGCCTATACGGAGACTCGTTGTTGGGATCAACAGCAGGTTTGAAACATCGGATCTCAAGTGTGTTCCAGATGCTTTTGAAGATCTCTTTTTAAACCTGTCAGACAAATAAGATGGAGCTAGACCGTTGATAGACCTGTAGACAAGTGTTGAAATTTTGAACAACACTCTTTTTTCGACGGTTAGCCAATGAAGTTCCTTCAGTATTGGAGACACATGATCGTATTTTAGAGCTCCAACAACAACTTTTGCGGCTCGATTTTGTATTGATTGAAGTACAGCCATGGATCGATCTGTCTTTCCTATCCAAAATTATCGGTTCTAGGTCCTATTCTGTTCCTGATCTATACATCTGAAGTATTAAAAATAATAGAATCATTTGGTTTTTCAGGTCATGCTTTTGCGGACGACTTGCAAATTATTGTTACGAGCAGGCCAGATTCTTTTAAATCTAATATATGGTCCATATATATATATATATATATATATATATATATATATATATATATATATATATATATATGTATGTATGTGTGTGTGTGTGTGTGTGTGTGCGTGTGTTGTTGTTGCCCCATTCTGGGGGACCGGTAGGGCTCCAATCGAGGCCGGAGCCAAACCGCCACTGCAATTGGGTTTCTCCAGAGGTTTATTGGTTGTAGTTTTGTGGTGTTTTGTGGACAGCTAAACAGATGCGGTATGATCTGTATGATTGTATGATTGTTGCAGAAAGGACAGATGTTGAGGTGCCCACTGTCGATTCTGTTTTTGTAGCTGTTTAGAAGAATACTATGGCCAGAATACTAGGGTCCGTCTGATTGCCCTGGGAAGTGATTCTTCTGTTGGATCTATTTTTGGTGTAAGTGGAGGCCATCCGTCAAGCAACAACAACGGCGACGTGTGTGTGTGTGTGTGTGTGTGTGTGTGTGTGTGTGTGTGTGTGCTCTGGACGCAAAACGAAGATTGATTGATATGTATGTCATAGTACTATATAATATAGTTATCCATTAACTGCTAATATTTCTTGAAAGGTGTGTGCTGAGTCACTGGAGGTGAGGGTACTTAAGTTGAAACATCTGGTCACTAAATACTGGACAACTTACTTCAATGTTTGTTGGAAGAGTTGCTAGCGTTTAAATTGAATTTGTTTTAATTAAAATTAATTATTCATCGCTCAATAAAATGAAAACTCATTTCATTCGATTGTCACGGGAGACCAATCGTTCAATTTTGGCGTTTGTTGTATTTGTTGTTATTTAAATAATAATTAATATTATTTAAATAATAATTAATATAATGAAATAAATAAAATGTTGATAGGAGTTGCAAGAGCAACAGATGGCTTTAAAAAGGTTCGCTGACATTGCAATCCATGCGTATGCCGTCATCTCGTGCCTTGCCAGAGCCACAAGGTCAAAAGCTATCGGCCTCCAACATGCTGACCAAGAGGTCGTTTTACTGACTGATCTATGAAGATAATTTGAACCTTATTTATACTATTATTAACTGTGCTAACTAGATGATTTAATCCATAAAGATTAATTATTTGGTGATTAGATGTTGAATGAGTAATATTAGACAATTGGATGAATTTTTTGGGCGGCGTAATGGTTAAAGGCGCTTGGCCCTGCTGTTGCAGTGACTGGGTTCGAATACAAATAGATCCCCGCTTATCATATGCAATGTGTGTGATGCATGGTTTTCACGCGTATTCATATACGCTGTGTGTGTTTGTCGTTGATACCTCTGAAGCAGGTGCACAAGAGAGAATGACCTTTAATATGCTAACTGATTGAATGTTGGACGGTTAGTTCTTAGGTTATTAAGCATTGAATGATTGGATGATTAAATGTTACATGGTTCAATCGAATGTAGGATGAATCATGAATAAACGTTGGATGGTTGAATGTTGGATAAATTAAAAATGTTCGCCTTCACTTGCTGGCGTCAACTTGAATGTAGTGGATAAAAAATAATGTTACATATTAAACTCTCAACAGATTATGATAGCTAGAAGTGTAGTGCTAAAGTACCTAAAGAAGATTGATGATGATATCCAAAATTTAGATTTGGGTTTGTTTTGAAATTCTAAATGAATTGTATAATAATTCTGCATTCAAACTCTAACTCTCACGTTCTCTCATCTCATCTTCTCAAAATAATGTCGTCTTTAAAAATTATTTGTGCTTCTTGGAATGTTAATGTTTTTCCGAAAACAACGTAGCGTTTTTGTTTATCTTGTTGTTTTGTTACGAATGGCTGATAGTTCTGTCGGTTAAAATGTAACATTCAAGGTGAACATTCGAATGGGGACACGGAGCTGAAGAAGATAAGCGAACACGTGATGAAGAATGGAAGTTACTACCCTGTTCATCCACTAACAAGGAACTGGTGATTACTACGGCTTAAAATATTTTATTTGGTCATATGTTAATTATATTGGATAAAACTGCTTTTTACTGACTAGACAATTATTCGTATTTTAGGAAAATATAGAATGGCAAACACGGATTGTCTTGTTTTTTTTGCCACGCTCATTAAAATCGTGTTTGTTTCTGAACTGCGAATCTTGCAATTAAATTTTCGATAACGAATCTGAAATTTTGTATACTTGCTTATTTCCAATAACACTATGTGAATTGACAGTTTTAATAGAATTAAAGTTTGTTGTGATAATGTAAATTTTATTCAATTTAGCGGCTGCGAAAATTTTTTTTATAAAAATTTACCTCAGAATTAAAAAAGTTCGTTGCCATTATTTTGTTCCGGGAAACAAAACTTGCATCCAAATAATAAATAATTAGTATGAATAAATTAATGAATGCTAAATATTTTTGATAAACGCGGGAAGTAAAATATTTGTAAAATGAGCTTCATTCGTTGAAGCAAGGGTTGATGAAAAAAATAGTTTCGTATAAAAAATTAACTAAAATTTACTTTAATGTTAATTTTATTAAATAAAAATTTCACACATGTAAGAAGCATGGTTTCTAAGAGTAGATTTTTAATTCAATCCAGTCCCTCCTCTAATGTCATCTTTATTAGCAGGCTTTCCAATTTTTATCTTGCGGTTTCTCTTATTACAGGCTTATAATAATTTATTCTAATAATATATAATAAAATCACAACTCAACTCAAGCTAGATTATTCAGTAAATCAGTTTGTTGTAATAATGTAAATTTTTTTCAATTTAGATGCTGTGAAAATTTTTTATATTTACTTTCTGAAGCGAAAGAAGTTTGTTGCCTTTATTTTGTTCCGGGAAACAAAACTTGTATCCAAATACATAATAGAGCCCCAAGCGGATATCCGCTATGCGGTTTCAAACCGAAAAATCAAAACCAAACAATTCTCAAAACTCCGCGGATTTGCGGTTTGCGGATTTTGTCTGCGGTTTGCCGCGGATGCGGATTCAAGTTCGTTTTTAAACAACCGCCCGCAAAATTAAATTTTTAATTATCAAAAATTTTCATAATAAAAAAATTTTGTTCTTTTGTCTGTTTGCATTATTTACGTGTGGGAGTATGTATGTGTATTTAAGATGACAATAGCTGGAGTCCACGTTGATAAACCCAAACAAGCAGCTTCTACAAATTACTTCAGTGGATTTGAATAAAAAAAAGTTAGTTTAATGTTTACACGTCCATACACACACACATACATACATGTATGTTTTTCTATTGTATGCGCACAAAACAAAAACAATCGCTAAACATAAAAAGGAGACGATAAAAAGTTACCTACCTTTCTAAACTTTAACTTATGTCTTGCCTAAGTTCAATTAACGTTGAACTAACTCAATCCCTAGCTTACCTACTGGTTGTTAACACAGCTCATTTTCCACTATATATTTGTGATTTTATATTACCAAAGTACGAAAAATTAAGAAGAATAGACAAATTACAACAATATAACAGCTAATACATGCATGCATGTGTATGTGTTTATGAGTTGTTGTTTGTATGTATACTTTTAACTTATGTACGTATGTGTTTGTATTTTGTGTATGTGTGTACGTTTGAGTTATTATAGAATTTTCTAAATAAAAAAAATTAAAAACTGAAAAAGCGCATCTCACGAACGGCATTTAGTAAGAAGCCCCCTCTGGGTCTGAGACTCGGAGCCCAGATCATCACCGAATACGAGTGTGCATGTGGGGCAAGGGTTGATGAACTCGGATACTTTAGTCTTTCTTGCCGTCTAGGTCCAGAAAGACAGGCCAGACATACGGCTGTCAATGAGTACCTAGTTCCAAAAGGCTGGTATCCCGGTTATAAAAGAACCCATGGGTTTGATAGAGGAAGAAGCCTTTACCCTTTAGGCCTGATGGTTACACTATCACCCCATGGGCGCAAGGACAGTCCCTGGTTTGGGACTTTACCTTTCCGCACACCATGGCTGACCGATATATTGGCTATACTTCAGTGGAGGCGGGCACCGCTGCCTTAAGCGTCCGATTTTAAAAATGAAAAATGTTTCATTAAATAACATAAGCAAAATATTTCAACCTATTTGCATTGAAACGTTCGGACCAACAGATATGCAAAACATCATTATTCATTAAAGAATTAATAGGAAAAATAATTAACATAACGAGTGACCCTAATGAATTTAATTATTTAAAACAAACCTTTTCACTTTTATTACAAAAATTCAACTTTTTTTGCATTCTGGATGGAGCTGCTAGATACCTGATTGTGCGAGACCAGGAACATAGATAAAAGTTGAACTCGGAGATGAATGCATGCCTAACCCTGACTTGTTCGTCAAAACGGTTTCATATATACATTTCATGCATACATATATACACACACACACGCACATACATACATACAGTATTAGTATTAATATTAGGTCAGGCGATAGTAGGGAGTATTTTTTCGCTATGAATAATATTTCGTGCATTCTGTAGCGGTTTTTGCGCGTCTGTGTGTTGGAAAATGTGCAGTTGAATGCCGACACGGTTGAGTGACGTTATAGCAAATAAAATCAAATTTAGTCAGACGCTTGGCTTTTGGTGTCATTCGTCAATGATTTGGTTTTAACATACATACACACACACATTCGTTGTTTTGTTTGCTTAATGTTTTATCCTTTTTTCCTTACTTTTTTCTTCGTAATCGTACAAATAGATAGGATTAATCCATAAGTTGAGCTAATTGAACATAGGTTGGTGAGTTAATTTAGTGAACATAGGTAAGTTAGGAACTCTATTCTTTCATTCTTACGTTCTTGTTTATTTGTATTGTATTGTTTTGTTTGTTTTTTGTTCAACACAACACCAAAAACAACAATCAAACACGAAAATCAACACATTATTGTTTTCGTTATATTTTAGTTAAATTTCGTTTTGTTTTATTTTAGTCAAGTTATTATTTTTAGGCGTATTCGTTATTTATATTGTTACTTATTATTTCTAGACATGTTCACTTATTTTACCGATATTATTATTTATTTATTTTTGAGATGCGTTATTCAACACAAATACTCACACACATTAAGATTTGTCAGGTAAGTTAGATATGGATAATTTTAATTGTAGGTAGGATAGATAGAAAACATATAATATTAGTAGTTGAATAGGTAGGCAGTGTAAGTTTTTACCTCTTTACTTTCTTGCACCATACTTACTTTCTACTCATACATAAATTTTTATCCTCAAAAGCTTATTTAGGTTGCCTTTTCGCTGGTGCGGTTCGGATGCGGTGCGAATATTGAGCAGTGCGGATGTGGGCGGTTGGAAAAATGTTCTCTGCTTGGAACTCTAATACATAAAGGTGAAGCATTTTCCAGAAGCAATATGCTTTAGGATTATATGACTTATTAGGTTGACTGTTTCTTTCCCAAAGAACGTAAACATTTTTAGTAGGTATCCGTTATATGGCTGCAGTATTTTGGGAATTGAGATTGAGTGCTCTACTGATGATCCATGGTGTTGGTGCAGTAACTTCCTACATCAATTTTAAGTTCTCGATTACCTTTTCATTTGATTAAAGGTTATGGTACTATTATTTTTAAATAAGAATCCCTTGTTGCCCCAGATGTTGCTATTACTTTGGTTGCTCACGCAATTTTTTATTATTTATCTTTGTAAACAAAAATTAAACGTAAGTTAATTATCGTTAATCATTTCTCGGCGTGCCAATCGCTCCATTATAAAGTTCTAAATAAGATAATTAGTTAGTTAACTGAATATCATTTTTGGCAATTTCCAGAGTTTGATGGCTAGCAAAATTAGAAAAAAAAATAGAAATGAGAGCAAAATTGTCAAACAAGGCAAGGTTTTTTTTTAATAATTTTTTGCTTTTATAAAGAAATTTTATATAAAATTAATAATTAATTTATTAATATGTTAAAATAACTTATCTATTTAAAATTAAAATAAATGATCAAAAACGTTGAATGATCGAGGAATCATAGATGATTGAACCATTGTTAAGTTAGTAATTAGTTAGACCAAATTATAATTATTATTTTATTTATAATTTTATTTATTTTATATGCAGCTCTGTCAAACACAGAGTTGCTTACGTGTCATTCTAAACTTAAAAAATAATATTTTGAAAATCTTAATTAAAATTTTTACCAGAGGTTCATTCTCTAACTATTATTATTTATTATGCATTGTTTTATTTGCAGTTTTTATTTATCTGTATAATACTAAATATAAACTATTACGTTGGTTTTTACTAGGTGGGGTGTTAAAGCTATTTTCTTTGTCTACATTGTGAAATAAATTGGCTAAAATTAAATTTAATGTTGTCTATTTCTCAACATAGTATTAAAAGCCATGCTGCCTAACAATGCATATTATGGCTCCAAACAACTTATTAGTTTTATTTATTGACATACGTTTGCATTATTATGGTCTAAATAGAAACGTGTAAATCTCAAAAATAAACAAAAAATGTAAGCACCAGTCAATGTAATTTGATATGGTTGGCTAGGTCATTACTGCTAGCTTATAGATAATACATTGTAGTGGAATGAGTGAGGGCTCGCTAAGTTTAAGATTATTAGTTATATTTAGGACAACTTCAGCAAGTTTGTTCTGAACACATTGAAGAGAATTTAAAAGGTAAAAGGTTAATTATGACTAATAATTAGTTGTAGAGGAAATTGCCTCTATATTCATGTGGCATGACATCCCACTATCACTACAATCGAGACTTTATAAATCTGTGATATGTCCGGTGTTGTTATATGGTGCAGAAACATGGCCAATGACAACCAAACTGGAACAACAACTTCACCAAACCGATATGAAAATGCTCCGATGGATGGAACGAATTAGTCTGAAGGACCACATCAAATCAACCGAAATCCTGCGTCGTGCTGGTTAAGATGATATAAAGAACGAATGCCGGCAACACCGTCTGAGGTGGTTAGGTCATGTCAAACGAAATGACGAAGTGGAAACAGTGCCATAACTTCTCTTGCAGATGTTGAAGTACCTGGCACACATCCCAAAGGCCGTCCAAAGAAGTCCTGGTCACAAACAATCGAGCAAGACATGAAAGCTCTAAATTTAAATGAAATGGATACAACTGATTGCCTAATGTGGCGCAAAAAATTGATGGCAAAGAAAACAACATCCTACCTCAGAAGAACTTAGTCTCTGGACGCTAAATGATGATTGATTGATTGATTTATGACTAATAACGTTAATTTTTAAGTATAACTCAAACAATAATGTCAGTTTTTTATTAATTTATTTAATTTTTGGTAAGCAAGTTTGATTTAATGATTTAATTATTTTCCAGGACTTAGGTTCAATACAGGGATTGGTCAGCACATCCTTAAAAATCCTCTTATAGTATTATCTATGGTCGAAAAGGTTCAACTTCATTTTAAATCAAATTGCTTCTGATATTGAATGAAATATTTTGAATAATGCATTTGATGTTAGTCAGCAATTAAACCCACTGATGAAGTCCTCGAAGTTGGACCTGGCACAGGGAACATGACTATCAAACTGTTAGAAAAGGCAAAGCATGTAATAACTTTATTATAATAATCTAAGATAAGATGTTCTTGTCAAATATATATACTTTTAATAAAAAATATTTATACATTCAGGTCACAGCTTTTGAAGTTGATCCCAGGATGGCAGCAGAGTTAGAAAAAAGAGTTTTAGGAGGGTTTGTACTTTACTTTATTGCATTCTATTCATTTCATAATTACACTGCATTATATTCTCATTTATAAATATATTTTTATTAAATTTAACAGACCTCTGAATCATAAATTAAAAATTATTCGAGGGGATGTTTTAAAAGTGGATGAACTGCCATATTTTGATGTTTGTGTGGCGAACTTGCCTTACCAGGTCAGTGGGATAACATTCATTTCTATCTGTAAGATGAGTATTATTATGTGAATTGATTCTCCACCATGTCACGTGAAGTATCCCACTAGCAATATTTATCAAAAAGGCTTTGAGGAATTTAGGGAGTTTTTGGAGGGTCCGTTACATGGTTGGCTTGGCTTCCATCGTTAATTGGTGTAGTGGCATGGTTGTTAAGCAATTGGAACTGTTAAACAACCGCTAATTTGTTTCAGGCATTATCTTAATCTTAGCACATGAGAATACTTAAGTTAATACAAGCTCAATACTATTATCTTTAAATGTTCTTACCGCTATTGCCCTATCATAAAACGTGAGTTACATAGCAGGTTTCTTCTCGTCTATCTATTAATTCCCTTCCTTAGCACTCAACTATCTACCAAACTCTCCTTCATCTGCACTGATGATTTCATGTTACAATACATGCATCTTAACACTCATTCGACTTGGAACGTATTCAACATTTCAAGGAACTTATTGTGGTAAGCTGACCATCTATATTCTATACCCTGTCTGTCCATCTATATCCTGAATGCCAAGTGTGCCTTCTAGACTACCCAGGCCAATTTTTAAACATTTTGTGAGAAACAAGTTAAGATCAGCTGGTGAAAGGGAACAGTAGGTCACCTAGAGACGCGGGAGCGGAGATGAGTGAACTAAATACAATAAATGAAAGAACATTAGTACTGTTCGGAGAACAAGGTGGCGAAGTTCGGTAACCAGGTTGCTAAAGAAAGCTATTAATTTTGATCAGAAATGATCAAGTAGATTAAATCACAAGATAGGTTTTAATAAAAGATAATAAATACATTGAAAAATCAATCTTTTAATTTTAAATATCAAAAAGGTAAAAATTTACATTAAAACTTAGAGTTTTGAGAGTTTTAATGACGATTCCATATTATAATATTTAACTTGTTTTTAATTTTCTAGATATCATCTCCCTTTATTAACAAGTTGTTAATTCACAAACCACTGTACCGCTGCGCTGTTTTAATGTTTCAGCAAGAATTTGCTCAGAGACTGGTGGCTAAACCTGGAGATAAATTGTATTGTCGGCTGTCACTTAACGTACAGTTATACACCAAAGTGGACATGCTAATGAAAGTAATTCTGATGTAACTTTTAGTAAAATTTTATTTAACAAATGTTGAAAATTGCAGGTTGGTAAAAATAATTTCCGTCCGCCACCTAAAGTTGAATCAAGCGTTGTCAGAATCGAACCTCGGTTTCCGAGACCTGCCGTCTGCTTCCAGGTTAATAAATATTAGTATTTCAAATTTTTCTAAATTATTTTTTTAAATATTAATATGCATGTACACAATGATTTAGAATCCGTGATGACATAATTTCATAGTGACGCAATGTCGTTGTAGCTATATATTTTTGTAAATATTCAAAGACAGGTCTAGATAACTTTGATGGGGAGGGGGCAAAATTTTAAAAATGTTCAAGTTTTTATTTTGTGGTTGTGCGGCCAAATTAGACTGGCGTCCTTCTTAAAAAAGGAACTTTGCTGACTTTTAATACAAAAAAAATTCAGGTTCATTTTCACTAATTAAAATTTTATTGTAGGAATGGGACGGCCTGGTCAGAATTTGTTTCAGTAGGAAAAATAAAACACTTTCAGCAGAGTTTAGGTATAATTAATTGATTAATGTTGTCATCATATTGCCATGATCTAAAATTCATTCTTAACTTTCACCGCCAGGCAATCTAACGTACTTGAAATGCTTAATAAAAACTACGCCACGTTCTGCCATCTACAAAATAAGGTAAGCATACTTTTTACTCCATTTTATATTCTTTATTTGAATAAATTATTTTTTTTTATAGCCGATTCCAGAAAATTTTGTTATCAAAGATTATGTAAACGACATATTAACTAAAAATGAGTTCAGTAATAAACGTTCGAGAACAATGGATGTTGACGACTTTTTAAGGTGATTAGAGGTTATTGTTGATTAGATGGATACATTACATTGAAAACTATTTTTATTTATTACAGATTGCTTCACTGTTTCAATTCAGCTGGGATTCATTTTTCTTGATAACATTTTGTTGAACAAATTAAATTAGTTATTATTTTTTGTTTTATTTAAATCATGATAAGTTTACTTATATATTCTGTGCATTTCTTGAACTTCAAAAGGCCATAGTTCTTTTAAAACATGATCTTGAGTTAAATCTTGAACTTTAATTGATCGTATAACAATGCGATCCTTGTTGCTTATCAGTTCACCAATCACCATCAAATAGGCTGCAAATAAAAATTGCATATTCTTTAATCCAAATAAGTTTTAAAGAATGTTCTACCTTTTTCAATGACATTAATTCCTAATGTGGATGAGGCAGTTGTATGAACTGTGCAGCTACCCGATAAGTCCTTTAATTGAAATTCGCTTTGAGAGACCTAAAATAAATTGTAGGTGGTGTGTAATGATTGATAAAGTTTTTAACAGTGAATGCAGTGGATAGCAATTAACTAGTTTAGCAATTACCACATATGTCTTACAATATTTAGCTACCTTTATTTACCAAGAAAATTTTATTTGTAAAAATCAACTCATCAAAATTGGGAAAGTTTTCACAGAACCTTCATTTTTTAATTAAAAAATATTTGATTAAAATATGAAGCTCAGAGAAGTCGTTCAGAGCTTTGGGGCTAAAGCCCTCACCACAATGGATAACTTTGTTAGGGCTAAGGTTAAATTTAACAAATGCTCTTTATAAATTTAAATTGAACAATTTTTCAGCACCAACAATAGTATAAAAAAATTGAATTTGATATGAAGGAAGTAACAAATAAGCAAAAAATATTGTAAATTTTTTAAAAGAATTCAAACCTCCTATAAAAATTTTGGCTAGGCTGCTCAAGCTGTTTTAAAGAGCCTTTATTGAATGCAGTGAAATTTATCAACTCTAACTCCTAACTATTTTTCGGTTGTATAAAGAAATGTTGGAGTTTTAGTAAGTAAGGCCACATAATTATTTTATAGTGAGAATGCATACAAATGTCTGGTGTGCAGGCCTAACAAATGTTTATTTGAGATTTGAATAAATAAATATATATAGTATAATATATACAAAAAAAAGCAAATACTGAAAAGTGTTTAAAAACTCATGAAAAAAGATGCAACTTGCATGTGTCACAATCCCTTGAATCCAAACTATAGAGAAGATGTATCCTGAACCGGTAAGCCAAGTCTTTATGCCATTCACGCTCTCAGATTCAGTGGATTTCAACAACGATGATAAAAAACATTTCATTGATGGATAATCCAACCTGGACATCCCAACATAAGTGAAATCACTAATGACACTTAGTAAAAAAATAAATCATAAATACTTCAGTTTAATCAAAGCCAAAATAAATCATAAATACTTCAGTTTAACCAAAGCAATATTTTCATTTAAATTACCATGTGACAAGTTCAGAAACGAAAGTGCATTTTGGTTAAACATCAACTGACACTAATGTTCACCTCAAAAGTTGCATTTGGCAAACTGTTAGCGTAAAAGAGGTAAAAGTATCAAGCATATTACTAAATCTAAACCTTTAGTGCATTAACAATAGCAATATTTTGTAATATAATTTGTGATGACTTTCATTATTATTTATTTTTATATCAAATTTAAAGTTGGTTTTAGTTTACAAAGTTATTTACATTTATATTACAAATGCAGCTTCCATTGGGGTTATTATAGTTATTATTAATTAAAGTTGATTTTTTAAAAATTTTAATATCAATTTTAATTTAAATTTTTAAAAATTGTTGAAATTTTGTGAAATAAAAAATTTTTGTATTCTTTAAAAAATCAGTATCTGACAGATGCAGAAACTGTTATAACATGCAAGGCATTAATTAGTGTAAAAGGACAGAAAAAAATTATCAGAGTGAGAATGTTTACCCATAATAAGCAAAGAAAATGAAATGATTTAAAAAAAAGAGTAATGAATTAATGACTTATGTGTTCATTAAACATTAAGGAAAAAGAATTGACAAAGTTGAACAGATGTCAAATATTATTTATTGAGTGCTAGTATATATTTATTTAAGGTGTCTTGTGGTGAAGGTCTTATCCTGATAAGTTGGTTGAGTGACGACTTGATAGTTTTCCCGAGGTTAGACTAGGAAAAAACTAGATAAAACATTGTCCTGTTAATTAGTTTAATTAAAATTCTACACTGTTTCCAGACTATGATGCTAAAAAATTGTTAAGTTACCATTGAAAAATAAATAGTTTTATATATATATATATATATATATATATATATATAAAACATTATATCTTGAATGGAAAACAAAAAACAGCCTATGGGTGGAGCGGTTAGCTTTCGTCGGGGTCATTATAGTTATTAATTCAAGTTTTGAGTTTTTTATTTTAATAATAATTTAATAACTTAATATTATTTTAATTTACTTAATATTATTTTAATTTAATAATAATTTAACTTAATAATAATTTATTTAATGAAATTTCAATTTCAATGCTAACAATTACAATTGCTTACATTACGAGCTTACAGTACATGAGTACACCTTACTGTCCTTACATGTTTTTTTTTTTATAAAAATCTGATTCAGATTTTGATGATAGATTGTTTTTATTTTAAGACAAAGTAAAATAAAAATGGTACTAAAAAAACTAAATGAAAACCAACTGGACTATATATAAAATTTATATATATTAACAATTAATATTAATTAGTTAAATATTAAAATTAAATTAAACCAGAAGAGCCAGACACTACTATGACTAGTAGGTAAGTAAGTTTCAACAAAACAAAGGAATAAAAAGATGTGAATGAGAAGACAATCGTATTCAAGGGCGTTTAGTTTTAACTACAACGTATTTGAATGTTTAATCGTCTACTAACTGTGCCGTCAGCGAGTAGAAACCGACAACCCACTTGTTTAACTTATTCGCGCCAAATGTCAGCAGGAATCAGCTGATTTTTATATCTTTGCGACCAGTGCCCGTCGTTATAAAAAATGTTTGATTTAAACATTATACATTTTCTTCCATGATTACACGCAAGCCAGTTTTCGTTATCCAGGTAAAATATCACGGTTCATAAAGTTTCGGATTATGCGATTTCGTTTTTTAAAAGAAAACTTTTGTATATCTGTTTCAAAACATTATTGGATTGTGTTTATTTTCGTTTATTAAGTTGTTGTTATAAAAAGGTGAGAACAGAAAAAATAGCAAAAACTTTGCACCCTAACAACGTCGGTACATTGGAATTTCTCTTGTTTAATGATAACATCTGAGACGTGAATGCTATTTGATGAGTTTATCATTTTTATAAACAAATTCCATTTCCAGGAGAAAACAACCATTAAGAAAACGTGAGCTTTTACGTGTTTGCATGCAACTTTTTTGTTAAATTTTTAATCCTACTGATGGTTTACCAATTGAATAATTATTTCAAAATGATTTAAAAATAAGTTAGATAACCGTTTGCAGTTCATTCAGTTAGTAAGCGACAAATTTGTGAACAGAGTAAAAAATGTACAAACCATAAAATTGTATAAAGAAATCGCCATATCGTATCTCCAATTATTATATAATATTACACTCAAGAATAAAATTTGAAGAGAAGCAGTGATGTTACGCATCCATAATGATTGATGTAGAGACTCTGGTTATTGTTTATAACGGCGTAAAAATACAATGCAATAACATAATTGCTTCCAGGTCAGGGTTAGGGTTAGACGCTCCATTTCACTTCCCGCAGTCCTATATGTAATTCATTGGGGCAAATTTAGCCACGTTACAAAATGTTACAACATCAATGAATGGCCGTCAAAAGATGAATTTCAATTTCGAAACTAGAAATTAGTTTGATTTCATTTTCTTACTGAATAAAATAGAATGAAAATACTTTTTATAACATCACAATGGATTGGTTATGTGAAGTCATTGCTGCTCCAGCTTCTAGTAAAGTTTATAATGGAAAAAATACGCTTTTCATGCTATTTTTCAATTTGTAGCATATGTTTGTAGCAGATCTTATGTCGGAGATAAATCTTAAGACTGGTACGCATTAGTAGACCATGTTGCATGATTTACGAATCATAGGTCGTCTAGAGAGGCCGTTCTTTATTGTCTTGCTTAGCGTTTACATTATAGTGTTTTGAATGAAACGAGTAAAAGAACGTGAAAATTTAAACATTGGTGAACGCACAAAATGCAAGACTGGAAACTCATTAGCTTCTGGAATTTAACCCAGCTAACATCTACTGATTTTGAACATTTTCTTCTGTCGGCTGGAAAAATAAAAATGAAGCAAGATAACAAATTTAGAAAAACTATTATGACTTCTTTTTAGTCGTCACTCACGCTACGTTTTCTAACAAGTGAAAACTCATTATGCACATCTTCAGAATATCTATGCAAGCAATATTGAAAATGAGATCAAAAGTTTTTGTAATGATTGTCTCATCATTAAAACAATATGCAAATGTAAGCGTAAAATTGTCGGAAGTCTATAGGCTTGCAACGGGCTCGTAGACGGGGGTTGTCGGATTGCAAATCCTAAAAATTAATACTAACAATCTTCAATGATAAATGAAAACACCACGAGCTAACAAGGTGATTTGTGCGGGCTATATAAGGAGAAACTGCGATTCGATTCTGATAGGTATTCGAGGTGCTGATGAGTCCCCGGTAGGGGCGAAACAGGTGTCCAGCCTATCCAAACGGATACTATTCTTTTTTCTTTTTACTCCCACGCACTGCTCTCCCTGATTTGGTGTTCTCTTACAAAAGCTCAACTGAAACAGGTTATGTCTCCAATATAACCCGAGATACGTCTCGGAGACTAAAATCGCGCAACTAGTGTGTTAATTGTAATTGTTTTCAATTATGTTTTTAAAAGAAAAACTCATCTAAATTTATTTATCCAATAAAAAAAATTAAAGTTGTTTTGCACTGGTTCAGTTATAAAATTGCTAGGTCGTTGTAGCGAACTGGTTCAAACAATTTATGCTCGTCTATCATATTCCATAATGCATCCAGAATTCATCATTTCACACATGTGTAATAATTAGAAAAATAGCCGGCCACGTGTGAAGATATTATTTTTGATGAATTTTCCTCTTAAAATTATCAAAGTTATCAAAGTTCAAAAAAGGACAATCACTGATAAAGTTATATAAGTTGAAAAATTACGGTTATTTGAAATTACGTTTTACCCCTTCAATTTTTGTATTTTTTCGGTATATACTTACTGGAATTACGAATTCACATGAAGATTATTATACATTTGCCATAATTGGTGCAGGGAACCTTCACTCGTCAGTCATTTAAAATAGGAATTACAATTATAGACGTCCTTCGCTATAATTACATCATGATATACATTGCAGTTAAATTGCAATTGCATTTAAAGAGTATAAAAACCTCATCGCGTTTTAAATGAAAGTTAGAATAAACGAATAAACTTTTTTTCTGCTTGCTTATTCATTTCTAATTTGTTCTTTACAATGCTGCTCTGTCAAACACAGAACTGCTTACATGTCATTTATACTTATAATTAAACTTTTGTGCCACAGAAATTGTACAGACACCACACAAGAGTGGCGTATGATACCTAGTCTAGAATTTGAGTTTTGGACAGACATTATTCGAACCTGGCCATCAAGTGGTAACAGCACAAGACATGGCACTTCTACCGACTAAGCTAGCTTACCAACTGTTATTGTTATTATTTTGTTATATGATTCTGTTTTTGGTTTTATTAATATTCCATTGATAACATGTTTTCTTCAATGTTGAAAACATATTCATCTCAGATCAAAACATAGCATATCAGTGTCGGCGGTTTCAATGAATGTTAATATGTAAATAATTACGTACAACTTTTTGCTAGCAAAAAACTTTTTAGGAATTAACAAGCAAGTGCAGAATAAAAATTTCAGCTATAGATGGAGAGATGTCGTAGCAGTAAAGATGTGATAATAAAAAATTATAATAAATAAGACCGTTGTGAGATGTGATACAAAGATACAATGTTTATTTTTTATAAAAAAAAGTGTTAACACGCGAAACTCGAAACATTAGAAAAGTAGCAAAGTTATTTTATATAAAGAAAAAGGTCCACTGCATTAAATGATATATAAATTGAACAAATCATATCAAGGCATTGTGTTGAATACAAAGAATGAACAAATTGTTGATCCAAAGTAATATTTCCTCATTGGCGGATTCCCACCAGACCATGAAAGCAGAGAATTTGTTATACAAATCTGTTTTATATTTATGCCGTAGTGTTGCATTTTCTAAATTGAACGGTGGCAAATCTAGTGGAGAGTAATGGAGATGAATTTTTCATCAACTAATTCAATTTTTAGAAACCTTTTATATCATATGGTATTTTATAAAACTGAAAAATAGAACATAATTGCAAACAATTAACTTGTCAATTTACATTTATTGTCAAATCAAAACAAACGTTGAATACGATCTATTTATAGGACAGTTTTTGTAATGCTTCAAAAAATATGCCAGATTCGTTTGTTCAGGTGATGCAGCTTCTTCGATTGACACCACGTTGCCTTCGATAACTTGTTCCACTAAAAAGGTCATTTAGTTTGATGAAATCGACAAAATCACAAGCAAAATGATGCATGGTGCTGGTGCATGACACTGGTTTGCTCCTCCTCTCTTAGGATCACACGAAGACTTCATGATAACGCAATGACTGAATAAATGATTTAGAAAGGATTTATAACATTTAGAAAAACGTCTTCCTATACGAAATAATAAAAACAAGAAGCTATGTTGAAGTTTAGGTTCCATTTCTTTTCTATCGAGGAGTTACACATTACAGCCGCCTATTTTTACATAATGTTCTTTCCCATGAAAATCTGTATTACAAAAACTGTCCAGATTTAACCAGTGCTTTCTTTATTTTTTAAATTAACTTTTCACGTTCTTTCACTTTTAATAGAAAACCAAATATGGAGTTTAATTTGCGTATTTTCATAAATCGTCTGCCAATTTCTCGCTGCATGCAATCAAATATTTAAGTAAGGAATATTAGTAACTACTAGTAAACCATCCAATATTTTTATTTACCGGCAAAATGTCAAACGCCGTTGAACCAATGAAATTTTTGTAATCAGTATGTTTTTTAGCAATAAAAATATAAAAAAAGATAATTTTAGAGGCAATTTTGGCACGCCTTGTGAGCGGCACCCATCCTAGTGTGAGAAGCATGCTCATTCTTTAACAACGTTTTTCTTACTGAATTCTGTATTCAAAAAATTTTTTTTATAAAAACTAATAAAAAACTAAAAAAAACTATTCGTTATTAAAAACTTTCATCTGTGATTTGTGTGTGCACTTGAAGAATTTTAAAAAAGTTATTAAGTGCACACTGCACATGAGGCATTTAAAATGAAATTTCTATGATAAACTTATAATAAACATCAGTTAATGCTTTTTCGTTTTAATTTCCATTCATGTTTTCGACTGAATTTAAACACACACGCACATACACAAACTTTTTATTTTTGGGAAAATTATTATTATTATCGTAAATTTATAAAGCGCTTAAATAAAACATAAAGTGCTATAAGAATATTTCTCAAACCGGCATAACATTTAATATTTGCATGCACCTTGTTGGATGAATAAATAGATGCACGCTTACAGATGATTATATATATGTATATAATATAACGCGAAACATGCGGTAATTTTCGTCAATAATTGCATTTATGACGGTCTTAATCCAGTGCATATATATTATATATATATATATATATATATATATATATATGTATATAGAATTTATGAAATCTACCGAATATATATTATATAATTATGCAGTTGTTTAACAATTTGTAGACAATGATGGACGAAAAATAAATGTAGTGACAGGAATGAGAATAGTTGCCAACCATCCCGAATTGGGCGGGACAGTCCCGACTTTCGCCCTCCATGTTCCGCGTTCTGCTTCGGTGTCCGCGGGACGCCTGCTTGCCCGCTTTTTGCTCAGCTAAGAACCAGTAGTGAAATATTGAAATATTGGAATTTAATAATAAATTTAAAAATTTGAGGAACACGAAATCATACAGAACGCCGATTTTCTAAAAGTTTCTAACACAATTACATCAATAAAACCATATTTTTTTACCTTCATTGCGTATTTAGTGATGGTTGTGATTCTAACAAAACATCAACAAAAACATTCGTATGCCGATATTTTAGTTAGTATAATTTCGATGATGATTATGATTTTAACAAAACAACAAAGAAAATGCCGACAGATTATTTATTTAATTTAACCATATTGCAATATCGATGATATCTAAAACTGATTCTAAAACTTTTGATGTTTCCCACAAGTTTCGTAGTTTAGGCTTTATCTTTGATTCTAGTATGTCTCTCTTTTCTCAGTTTAATAGTGTTACTAGAAGTTCTTACTTTCATCTACGTAGAATAAAAAACTTGCCTTTTTTGAAGATCCTACTCTTCTCCTTCTTGTTACTTTGTTAGTCTTATCTAGGATTGATTATGGTCTTCCTGATTCTACACTCTATCCTTTAAGTAAAACTTTTAATTTTGCTGCTCGTCTAGTTGCTCTTGACCCTTTCTTTTCTCATATATTTCCATATCTTGTTCTCTTGCACTGGGTACCTACAAAATTTAGTCTAATTTTTAAAATTTGCACATTTATGTATAAGTCTCAATCTAAATAATTTCCTAAGTACTTATCAGATATTTTAATCGAACCTAAACGCCCTGGTTTACGATCGTCTTCTTGTTCTCTCGTGTTAAACACTCTTTTGCTAAATCTGCATTTGCTTTTTCTGGCCCTTTTTTTTGGAACTCTCTACCTCCCTCTCTGACTACTTCTCCATCACTTACAAAGTTCAGAGCGGATCTCAAGACCCATATGTTGGCAAAATTCATTGACGAGCGCTGTTGAACATCGCGGTAAAAGCGCTTTTTAAACTAATTGATTGATATTGAATTAAAACACTATTGATTATGATTGTACAAAAAACAAAAAACATTATGACAACAATAAATAAATATATGTATACATGACTATATATATATATATATATATATATATATATATATATATATATATATATATATATATATATATTATATAAATATATGATGTATATATAATGTGAAAATTTAAAAAAAAACTTTTGAAAATTTTAATGTTGGCAAGTATGAAAGACAAAATATTATGTTTGAGAAAGGGAGAACTTATATGTGCATAAGGATCAAGATTGAAAATTAAATTGAAAAAAAATTCTCAAAATCTATTTTGAGAAATTAATAAAATATTAAGATGACTTCTAGGACACTGGCCCCAGAGAAATATACACTAAGTTAGGTGAGGATAAATAAAAACGTAATAAAGAGTTTTTAAGGCAGGACGAGATAACTTATTTTTTATTTTAAATGTATATTTATATATAATTTTAAATGTATATATATATATGTGTGTGTGTGTGTGCGTGTGTGAGTGAGGGAGTGTGTGTATTTTATCATATATATATATATATATATATATATATATATATATATATACATAAAAACATACATGCGGGCTTATGTCGGCAAAACTTGCTTAAATATTTATAAGGGTTGTTATATAATATATCCATCCATGCATCATTGCATCCATACTTTCAATCCATATAGTTCTGTCGGTTCGTTAACATCACGCATTGATATATATATATATATATATATATATATATATATATATATATATATATATATATATATATATATATATATATATATATATATATATATATATATATATCTGTATATAATTGAATTCTTTCCATCATTAATTTCATAGCGAATGATAAATAGTTTGTCATTAGTGATTTGTTTGTTCCAACACGTCTACGGATACCACTTGGCGTAACTTTTTCGTTTTAGCAACCATACCTGCCTGCGTATGCGTATGTAGTATTGAATAATAAATTGAATTAACTTATCACATTTTATATGAACACCAAGGAAAACTACAAACACATGTCATGTTGAAAGTGAATTTAGTAATGAAAATATAAAAAATAATAATTGCTCTAAAAAGTTTTCCAAACTTTCGTCGCATACAACAGAAAGATTCGTTTGTTTTTAAATAATCCTTATAAAGTTCGTATATTTTTAAAAAGTTTACTGATTTGTCTACGTTATTAATTAAAATTCTGCTGTTTATTTGTTTAAATTCTCTTCCATTGATATTTTAATCTAATGAGGTTACATTATTTGAATTGTATGCAAGTTACAACAAAATTTTTACCATACGCTGATTCTTTTCTTTTACAATGTTAAATAATAAAATATTTTACTCAAAATTAATTATGAATTAATTAATAATTTGTATCGAAGTAATCAGATCCCATATTAATTTTATAAAATAATTTATTAAGCGCAAAATTACATGGATCCAATTAATGGCCTTACGTTATTATACATATTCAATTTTTTACAAAAATCTTCCGAAGCTTACTGCACAGCTTTTGATTGTGGAATTGTTAAATTAGAGGTCCAGTGAGTACTGCTACTGAGTGGCAATCCTTGTTCAAACACATTGCCTCTTTTCCATTACACCAAAGTTGATGGTGCTACGATGCAGCTCTAATTTTAGGTTAACCTGGAACAATGTTGCCTATCGCAGGGAACTGGCAAATTTTTTACCATACATGGAAAGATTTTTTTCATCTACAATCTTAATGATATTAATGCTATTGCACTGGTCTGTTTTCTGCTCTCAACGTTGTTACTGAATAGTTTCACCCAATTAATTATAATTTTTGCAAGCATTGCAAGCTAGCAAAAATTTTGCAAGTATTGCAAGCATTTACTTTGATACAATAGATAGCTAAAAATATGTATCGATTGAATTTTTTTACTAAATTAATTATTACATATCAGGTAAATAAAAAAAAATAATGGAATCAAAGGAAAAAGAACTGTCAAATAAAAAAAACTTTTTTTTGGAAATGCTTGTTCCATCGAAAAAATCAAAAATACAATCGACGCGTCATTTGTCGATAGATTGCTCGGAAGTACTAAATAGTGATCTTCAAAAATTAAAAGTTTTTAATCCCAGTAGCGATGACAAGAAAAATGACGCAAACAATTCAAAAGATAAATTTATGACTAAAATATCAGCAACTCTTTCAAAAAGACGTTATTCCCTACAACAAAAAAATGAACTTAGCAAGATATCTCTTAGAACAAGTTTGTTTTCAAAAGGTCACAACGATGAAAATGTAAATAGCGAGAACAAATTGAAAAAATGTGGCTGGCTTGAAAAAATTGGAGACAAGAAAAATATGAAAGAAACGTTATACGATCCAGATCGTGAAAACTGGAGTAGCAAAAGTTTGTTGAACGAACATAACGCTATCGATGGTCCATTAATTTACCCTGCTACACCTGAACTTGTATTGGAACATCATCGCAAAAAACCTTTCCTTACATCGAACGAGGAATGGGTCCTTGTGGTGTTAAATAAGTATGAATGTTTGGTTGACAGTTTTGATATAGTGACAATTATTGCCAAGCATTCAATCTTTTTTGAAGTTGATCCGGAAGAATTGTGGGAAGAATTTTTTGCATTTGTTAGTAATGTACCAAGCTACGATGAAATAATTAACGAGGACGTTTGGCAAGAATTCAAAGATAAAAAATATATGCGGTAAAAAATTGGATTCACCTTTTTGATATTTTTGACAATTTTTGGGTCATCTACGCTTTTGATCATGATTTGTTAAGTTTATTTCTAACTTATCAAGAAAATGGTATGGTTTATGTTAATTGAAAATATTTAATAACTAACAATTTTAAATCATTTTTCTTTTTAATAGAATTTAAATTTATAAAATAAATAATATAATATAAGGACACAAAACAAAAATATGAAAAATTAATAGTAACCAAAATTTAATAATTTAAACTTTGAAAGCAAAAAAACGTCCATAATGTGTACAAAAGAAATATGTAAAAGTATGCACATTTTTTAGGTTTTAAGATAAAATTGAGACAGATCGCAAATAAAATTAAACATAAATCAATACATTATAAATTAAATAAACATGCTTCAAGTTAAATATTAAATTAAACTAGTGACTATTTCCTTTAGCTTTTAATTAAACGGCACAGACGAAAAGTTGATGCTGCTTATTCATCTGGGAAATTAAGACAAAAATTAAACAAAGCCAAAAAACCAGTAATTTGTAAAAATATAATTATCAGATTATATAAACGTTATATACGTACGAATACACATGAATTGCATATATATATATATATATATATATATATATATATATATATATATATATATATATATATATATATATGTATGTATATATACCATATATATATGCATATATACATACATACACAACATACGTACGAATACACATGCATTGCATATATATATACCACTATTAAGTGACATTCATCTTTCTGTTGAGATTGTAGATGACTTCTTAATCAAAAATCTGATGCGCACAGTTTACCACAATGGGGGCATCGAAGATCAGTTGGTTTCAATTCTCTTGATGTTGCTGCATGACGTATAAGTCGACGCCTGTAAGAGGCATTTGTCCATTCCAACATAAAACTTGTGAGACCAGCTTTACAAATCTTCTTTCATGTAGACCGATCTTTCGCTATTTTTTCAAGTCCAGTCAAGTTGATGTTACATTTCTGAAGTACGCTTTTCACTTGATCAACGAATCGCTTCTTTGACCGACCGACTTAACGACAGCCATTTGATAGTTCGCAGTATAACAATCTACGAGGTAGATGAGACTCCGCCATACGAATAACATTACTTATCCAGCGCAGCTGTTGTAACAATAGATATTTGGCCGGTGTAGTACATGCAGTCTTAAACATATCTGTGAGAGGTGTTTTGTGCCACCATCTTATTCCAAAAATGCTGCGAAGACAGCGAACACCTTTTCGTATACAAAAAGAAAACAGATCGTTAAGTTGAGCGTCAAAAAAACGAATGACTATCTAGTATCTAATATAAAAGTTATTAAAATCAACATTTCCTTAACAATAGATGGATGATGACACAGCTTTCAACGGCAAGAAATTCTAAGCGATGACAATCGTAACGTTTTTATTCAGTTTATCTAGTTTAAATATTTTGATTAGATAAAATAAGATTTACATTAACAAAAATAAAAAATCTGGATGCCAACAATTTAATTAAATTATCGAAATGGTATAAGCTTTAAAGAGATCATAACAGAATTATTATTTTCCAGTTTGCTGATACTTTTATGATACATTCACACATAACTTGAACTTGGGTCGTTAATTTTTCAGCTGTTTATTCTTGCACAAGTTACATTTTTCATTTTTTGTTATTTTTTAATAATTCCATTCGCTTTATCTACCGAGAAATGTTTTATTCTCTGAAAAATGTTTATTTTCCAAGGTTACCTCACTTTGTCAATTAGGTCAACATTTACGAGAGCGATAAACACGATCGAATGAAGATGCACTTTAGCCAAAATTACCTTCATTGCTGAATTTAGATATGAATGCATTATCTTTCACTGAAATATGTATAACAAAGGTTTCATCTTTAAATCTTTGCAAATAAACCCATTGTGTTGATTGCACGCCAGTTTTACTTTGTTCGTCATGGTTAACATCGTGAACAAATATTAATAACAAAAAAGAATTATCTTTTTTTGTGATGCAATTTTTAATAAATGATGTAACAACGGATAAAATATCATTTCCCAAATTTATAATCAGAACAGAAATTACATACACTTTCTCATTGCTATCGCTTATATAAGACCAGACTATTGAGAAATCACCCATAGGTTTTGTCAGACTAACTCTTTTATAACGGAATTTGATTCGCTGTTCGAATCGTTGGATTAATTTAATTTCCAATATGTATTCAGCACCTTCAATTGCATGGAATCTTCTAAAACCATTCATCAAACGAGTGAAATTATACTGCCCAACTGCAAATCTTCCTAAATTTACATATTCCAAGACTGCATACATCGAATTCAATACATCAGAATGTTCCACACCTGAGAATAATTAGAAATAAAACTATGGGTCGGTACAGTAAAAGTTATTGAATGTTAAAAAAATGTGCCACTAAAAAACAAAACTATTCAAGCGTGTTTAAAGCGATTGCTGATCATATGAGACTGGTTAAAATAATTCCATAAAACCAGGTCGAATCTTGATAAAAGTCTTCCCATTTTTCGTCTAATATAAAATTTTTGTTTTTTGAAAATGAGTTAGGAAAACTAATTAAGTTTCTTTCTAGTAAGTAAATTGTTAACTTAATTCAAATTTTTAAAGCATACTTGATGCATCACATTATAAAGTTTTGACAGCATTTAAAAAGTCATCACCCGACTAGAACAAACAAATTTAAGAATTATTTTTAAAAGGTGAACAAATTAATTCTACCAAAACTGTTCAATACGAGCTCAGCTATTTTAAACTATTTCTAATTTCACCCCAAATATTGCAAATCCAGACACTTCAAGCCCTACGAAACAGCACGCAGGCGACCTTAACCACTAGGCCATCACAGGCCAACCACATTCTTAACTAATTGTTAAGAAATGAGTCACACGATGACAAACCATGTTTGACCAAAAATGGCAAATAAAAAAGTTTCATTCCAACTTTCGTTAGATCTTACTAGTTTGTGCATTAAATCTCGAGGGTACTGTTAGGTCAAAAAAATGATAAAATAAAATGCGTTAAAATAAATTATTAAATTATCAAATTTATATAGAGGTGAATTATAATTAAAATCAAAAATACAACAAAAGTATCGTATTTATGGGACGTTGCACATGATTCAACTTTAGGAAAAATTATATGCGGTATAAACAAGTTTTTGAAGATATTGTTATAATACTCGCTGTCGTAACCGATTTACGATGCGACGGGTTCAAATCCTCGATTGAATAAAATATTCCAAACAATTATTAAACTTTATTTACAGAAGAAATCAACTATTATTAGTTATTAAACTTTATTTACAGAAGAAATCAACTAATCGTTTATTTCCAGTAAATTCAAACTAACGCAACAATTAACTTTTAAATCGTTCAAAATCTATCGCTATGACAACGTCAACAAACAAATCAAATATCGCTTTAAATAAATCAAAAAGTTTCTAGATTCTTCCAGATGGTCCGATTCTTGCATACTCAAGAATGCTCCAGTCACTAGAACATTCCAGAATACGTTAGAATCTAGTGCGTTCGGTAGCACGGTTATAACATTACCCCCTTCTTAGTTCTGTTCGTCCCGAACAGCTTTCGTTCCGGTGTCCGCATGGTACGGAGCCAGTCTATCCAAATGAACGATCTTCATTCTTGCTCTCGGCTTCCGATATTCCTGAATACGGTAGACGACGTCATTCAAGCGGGTGATGACTTGATAAGGTCCTTCCCACCCTCGCTGGAGCTTTGGAAAACGTCCTTTCTTTTGCTGTGGGTTGTACAGCCAAACTAACTCGTCGACAGCAAAACCGCCACTGCTTCCTTTCAAGTCGTATCTGGTTTTGGCCGCCTCCGTGTTTTTCATAATTTTAAGGCGTACGTAACGGTGGATATGGTTTAATCGCTGTCGAAGATTATCCACGTATTCTGTTAATGGTTGGTGTGGTTCAGGTGGTACGCCATATTTCACATCAGCTGGAGTTCTTAAGGTAGTCCCAAACAGAACTTTTGATGGCGTTTCTCCAGTAGTTGTGTGGATAGCACTCCGGTATGCCATAAGAAACAATGGCATATGACGATCCCAATCCCGTTGATTTTCGTCGACTACTTTAGCCAGATGTTCAATCAGGGTTTGGTTAAATCGTTCCACCATACCGTCAGACTGTGGGTGAAGAGGTGTCGTTCAAGTTTTGTTTATACCCAGCAGCTTGCACATTTCACCAAACAGTTGTGACTCAAAATTTCGACCTTGATCTGAGTGGAGTTCCAATGGGACACCATATCGACTTATCCAATTGAGTACAATTTCCTCAGCGACGGTACATGCTTCTTAGTTTGGTATTGGAAACACCTCAGGCCATTTGCTGAAATAGTCCGCTACAACCAGAATGTAAGGTTTCCATAATCTGTAGCAATCCGTTCAAAGGGGACACCAACATTGTAGATTTGCATTGCTCCTTTTAGCCTTCTTTTGGGTCCTTTTACTGAAGCGCATGTGTTACATTTTCGACACCAGCTCTCTACATCTTCTCTAACGTGAAGCCAGTAGAATCCTTCTCGTATTTTGTCAAGGGTCTTGTTCACTCCTAAATGTCCCCCAGAAGGGCCGCCATGCATTTCATCAAGGATTTCGGTCGTTCTACTTCTTGGTATTACAACTTGCATGCGGTGTTTTGATTCATCAGCTGATTCCCATTTTCGTTTCAGCAAATTCCCTTCCAAATACAGAGTCCCACTGAGCCCAATAACCCTTTAACACGGCACTATATTCTGAAATGCTTTGCCAGTCCGGTCGCTTGCCCTCCTTCTTCCATGTGATCAGATGTTGTAGGTCCTCATCCGCAAACTGTGCATCAGCAAGATCCGTCGGTGTCCAACCGTCATCCGCTGATATTGCTGTTGCTCTTATGTCTTCCGATTGTATCTTCTCCTCGTGACGACAGCAATATTTGCATCCTGGTAAACATGGTCGACGTGAGAGAGCATCAGCATTACTATGAGTTGTTCCTTTGCGGTGCACGATCTCGAAGTCGTACATTTGTAAACGTTCCAACCATCGGGCCATCTTTCCTTCAAGATCCTTGAAGTTGAGGAGCCATCTTAACGCTGCATGATCAGTTCGGAGAAGAAATTTCTGTCCATAAAGGTACTTGTGGAAGTGTTTTGTTGCATTGACTATTGCTAGTAACTCCTTCCTGGTCACACAATAGTTTCGTTCGGGCTTTGTGAATCCTCTGCTATAATACGCTAGCACCTTTTCTTCTCCGTCTATATGCTGTGACAAGACGGCTCCGATTCCATTGTTACTTGCATCAGTATCTAACACAAACGTCTTGCCACGAACTGGATATGCTAGCAAAGGAGCATCACATAGTTCAACTTTTAACTTTTCAAATGCTGAGTCGCATAGGGTATTCCAGTTGAAAACTCGGTCCTTCTCGGTAAGTTGGTGGAGAGGTCTGGCAACTTTTGCAAAATCCTTTACAAAACGTCGATAGTACGTTGCCAATCCCAAAAAACTGCGCAATTCATTTTTATCCTTTGGAGTTGGCCAGTCTTTCACAATTTCTATCTTGCTGGGATCGGTTCGAACTCCATCTGAAGATACCACATGTCCTAAATAGTTAACTTCTTTAGAAAATAACCTGCACTTTTTAACGTTCAGCTTTAAATTTGCCACCCGAAGTCTTGTGAAGATCTCTCGTAAGTTTTCGACGTGTTGGTCAAATGTTCTTCCTAGAACAATTATGTCGTCTAAATAGATAAGACAGGTTTTCCAGTTAAGACCTTGCAATACACATTCCATCAGTCGCTCGAATGTAGCTGGAGCATTGCACAATCCAAATGGCATGACGGTGAATTGCCACAACCCCGATCCGATAGAAAACGCTGTCTTTTCGCGATCGTTCTTGTCGATTTCTACTTGCCAGTATCCGCTTTTCAAATCAAGCGTAGAGAACCAACTTGAGCCAGATAGGGTGTCCATGATGTCATCAATCCTCGGTAACGGATAGCTGTCCTTTTTAGTCACATCATTTAACTTCCTATAATCAACGCAAAAACGGGTAGTGCCGTCCTTCTTCTTTACCAAAACAACTGGCGAAATCCAGGGACTTGATGACGGTTCGATGACGCCTTGATTCTGCATTGTCGTTATCATTTCGTTTACTTCTGTTTGTTTTGCTAGAGGAAGACGTCGTGGTACTTGTCGGATCGGTTTCGAATCCTGAATATCAATTTGGTGAGTTACCAGAGCTGTTTTACCTTGGTCATTGTCACCGGTTGAAAACACGTCTGCAAAATCAGCAATCAACGCCTCGGCTTTTAGACGGTCTTCTTGATTCAAATTGAGTTCATCCAGTAGATTTTTGGTAAGTTCTTTGAGTCTACTTTTGTCAGTTGGTAGAACCTTTTCCTGTTGCTCCATATCTAATGATTTCACCAAATTTATTGATTGGCAATTACCTATTTCCTCGTCTTTTTTAATTCTAATAGTGTGTTTAGCGGTATTCATTATTCTGACAGGAATAAGACCATTTTTGTTCGCTTCTACCAGGCATTTTCCAATGACCACGTTCTGTACATTTGTCGTTGAGGTTGGCTCCGTCAAATAGAACTAGTGGCCCCCAGGATCGCAATTCAACTTGCCCCATACGATGTTTTCAGATGATTGCGGTAGTTCTAAGTCACAATCGACTGTCACTCGAATACATTTTTCGTCGTTATCCCCCATTATCACTTCTGTATTTCTCCATCTAAGAATGCGTTTTTCTAAGTCAATTTTGAACCCATATTTTGTCAGAAAGTCGACACCTATTATGCATTCGTCGATGATATCCGCGACTAAGAATGAACCTTCGAATAACAAGTCGCCTAGCTGATCAGTACGGAGAATCTTTCCATAGACTGGTGCTGTTCCTCCGGTAGCTGTTCGAAGGATTTATTTGTTAGAAGTCTCTTTCTTCAGATTGGGTACCAAATCAGATCTTAAAATCGATTTTGTTGCTCCGGTGTCGACTGTAATTACGCATTCTCGTTGATCAACTTTTCCGTTCAGCCATAGGTCGTTTCGATTTCGATGTAGTCTGGAAACGTTAATTACGGTACTGGGGGCGTCAATTCCACTAGCCAACCTCTGCCCCACAAAGTTGGCTCTTATTAGCTTTTCCGCCCCTTCGTTAGAAGGGGCCAATCGTGATACATGATCATCTTCTCTTCTTTTGCGCCATCTTGTCGCGCAATTTCGGCAGTAGTTATCTTTTAGGCGGTGTTTACAATCACGACGTAGATGGCCTTTTTCACCACAAATCCAGCATTGGGGTACACCATGCTGTTAGGGTTTGCGTTTTACAACCACCTTCTGGCAAGAGCATTCTTCATGTACTTGGCGTAGACGTACGTCACTTTTTGATGCTTGCTTTGCCGATTCAAAAGTGAGACGGTGCGCAACGGCATCCTTGAGTTTTCGTTTATCTGACAAGAGAAGGGATTGTTTGAGTTCCGAATCACGAAGGGCTTTGATAAACGTATCCAGGGCAGTTTCGTCTCTATGCTCGGGGTCTGATGTCGGATACGACAGCAATGTCAACCGTTCGATATCTTGTGCCAGCTGCTGAATGGATTCACCAGATCGTTGCGTTCTGTTTCTAAGCTGAGACCGATAAATCTGTTTCATGTGTTCTTCACCATAACGTAAATCCAACGCGCTAACCAGAACTTCATAGTTGAAGTGGTTCTCCGCCGGAATCGTCTGAAGAACCTCTGTGCTGCTGAACCTCGCAGGGCCAGTATCAGTGCTGTTGCTCGTTCTTTTCCGTTCCAACAGTTACTAGTTGCCGCTACTTCGAACTGGGTTTTATAAACGTTCCAAGACATCTCTCCGTCAAATGCTGGTACCTTCAAAGTTCTTCCGGATGCGTGATCTAACGGCATAGCCATTTTTTTGGATTGCTCCAATTCTCGCTTCAATTTGTCTATCTTGTGATCTACCTCAACGGTCTGACGATCAAGTTTCTGCTCGCTCATTTCTATTCTTGTTGACTGTTCTTCAATCTGTTCTGCCACTTCCAATTTTACGTGTTTTAGCTGGTCCTTGATCTGTTTTAACTCCTCTGTCTGTCGTTCGGACTGTTCCTTGATCTGTTGTTTTAACTTTTCTGTCTGTCGTTCGGACTGTCGTTCGGACTGTTCTTTGATCTGTTTTAACTCCTCTGTCTGTTGTTTTAACTCTTCTGTCTGTCGTTCGGACTGTCGTTCGGACTGTTCTTTGATCTGTCTTAACTACTCTGTCTGTTGTTTTAACTCTTCTGTCTGTCGTTCGGACTGTCGTTCGGACTGTTCTTTGATCTGTTTCATTTCAGTTGACATACTAAGCAGAAGTTACATCATTTTAGCGGTTGTAAACGTGCCTGTGCTAATTTCATTGTCTTCGTCAGCACCATCAAACTTGAATTCGTCTGGGTTCTTACGTTCGTCAATGAGAGCTTCTCTCAGACGTGCTATTAGTACTTCTTTGTTGCCACTTGTGACAAGGCTTCGTTTCTTTAGTTCTTCTCGTAGCTGAACTACGTTCAAACCACACAGTTTTGACATCGTGTTCTTTTTCTACGAGTAGTAATTCGCTGGTCGAAGATCCCACTTCTGACACCAATGTTATAATACTCGCTGTCGTAACCAATTTACGATGCGACGAGTTCAAATCCTCGATTGAATAAAATATTCCAAACAGTTATTAAACTTTATTTACAGAAGAAATTAACTATTATTAGTTATTAAACTTTATTTACAGAAAAAATCAACTAATCGTTTATTTCCAGTAAATTCAAACTAACGCAACAATTAACTTTTAAATCGTTCAAAATCTATCGCTATGACCACGTCAACAAACAAATCAAATATCGCTTTAAATAATTCACCGAATCGCTATTCACAAAATCACGAATTTCACTAATCACGAATATCACTAATCACGAATATCACTAATCACGAATATCACTAATCACGAATCTTCCTGCGACGTGCGCTTATATACTCTTCGCAAGCGTCGTTTCTAGATTCTTCCAGATGGTCCGATTCTAGCATACTCAAGAATGCTGCAGTCACTAGAACATTCCAGAATACACTAGAATCTAGTGCGTTCGGTAGCACGGTTATAACAATATCTTTTTTTCACCCCACTCCGCATAGTGTTAAGAATTTAACAAAAATTTATTGCGATTTGGGTTTATGTTTTAGATTTATAGTATCTTAAATACTATGCAAAAATACTTTCTTTAAACAAATGATGATTAATATTTGTGAACAGGAGAGACTGCAAGAAAATGGGAAGGCCTTTTTGGAGATATAAATGTTCTTTCCTAAAATGAAAGAAAAATGGAAATAAGTCACTGAGCGGTAGTTAACAACAATTCATCTAAATTTGTAACTGCCTAACATTATTAAAAACAATATGACCACACATCAGCCTAAAAGGACAAATTTATAAACATCAAACAAACCATTTTATAAAAAACAAAAATATAAATAGCAGCTTGTTTAAATCATTCGTGACTGAAAGTATATTTATTTCGTGAATATTGGGACACCATTGATATGATTGAAATTTGGGTGAACCTTCAATTACCTTGCTATTGGTGAAGAAACACTTGGATTAATGTTAAGACAATTTCAACAACTTGAATTCGAAATTTGAAAAATTTCGGGCGATCGGAAACATTAAACACAGCCTTATTGCTCCCATTTTCAAGAAAGGGCACAAACGTAAACTTTTAAATTATAGACCGTTTGTTTTGTATTGTATATGTTGTAAGCTTTAGGAATCAATCATTAAAGATCACTTATAATGTTCTTCGATAAGAATAATTTCTCGACTATAGACAGTATGTTTTTGTAATAGATACCACCACTCTTCCACTAAAACTCTTCATTTGCTCAAGTTTTTGGATGATTGGTGATAAGCTTTTGATAATGAATTTAGTTGTTGATGTCATTTAAACCAAATTTGCTGATGCGTTTGATCGAGTGTCTAATAGTTTGCAGATTTATGTATTTGTCTGCACCAACAGCCATGTACATCTAAATAGTTATAATAATTATCACATGTTGTAGTAAATATAAATGTAATTAAATCTAGACCATATTTTAAATTTATTATTTTATTTTATATAAATATATATAATATAAATTAAATTAATTATCATTCATTCATTTTTTTAAACAAGTTTATTCCATGTAACGCATAAAAAAAATGAAACATAAAAAAGGGCCCTAAAAAAGATATAATCTCAAATAAATAAGAACCCTACAATTTTTATGAAAATGTCTAAATTAATACAAAAAATCAAATTAATGTACTTTGTAAAAGTAATATACATATATACACAAATGCATATACACATATGTTCTCTGGTTAAAAATCATTATGCGATACATTATTCAAATAGAATTAAAATAAAATTAATTAAAATTAATACTAAATTAAAATTAAGGAAAATAATAATAAAATAACAAAACACAACTATGATCATGATTGTTTAAATAAAATAAAAATGTACATACACATATATACACACACATGCATACGTACATACAAAAATTCATACGTAAATACACCACATGTAAATTAAAAATCAATTTTTAAAAAATAATTAAAATGATCAATAGTGTAAATAGAACAATTGTCTATACTATATAGTCTGAACTTTCTAAAGAATCCCGGTCCAAGCAAAGAAAGAAGAACGGTGACTTGACAGAAATTTGTTGTCTCTTAATCATTCTTTTTGAATGAATAAAATTTAATTTTATATTCGATACCTATATATATATTTCACCGGTAGAATTTTAGCTTTTTTTAATTACTTAAAAAATTATTAAAAATTTATTTATTTAGAGAAAACAATTTTAAATTTTAATTTGATATGTTAAAACAGATTATTTGAAAGTTGGTGGTCAAACGAAATTGTTTTAAAATTTATTGAATATTATCACGTGTTCAACAATTATAAATTGATATTGGGGTGTGGACGTTAGACGAGACAAAAACGATGTCTCATGAGTCATGACGGACTGTAGGCCACATCTTTATACTGTCACTGGAAGGTTTACGAACCAAAGGCATAACATGTCTGCTACAATGTATATATGAGTGAGTGCAGTATTTATTCGTAAACATTAAATTGTTTTATTTAAAATGTATTTCTCTTTTTGACATTTTCCCAACTTTAATATGCCTTCAAGTTACCGATCAACTGTCTCAACAAGTTTGCACAAATCAACTGCATCGAAATTCTTACCACAGATTCAAAAAATCATTGGAATCAGATCTGTTTAACTTAATCATTCATATCGAGTTTTCTTTTTTTGTAAATTATTTATTTTTATAGAAGGTAATTTTTTTAATTTTAATTTTATTTTGATTTAAAAAATCCAATTTGATATTTGAATATGTTAGTTTTAATGTAATATATTAAAAATGCCAATCATATTAACATTATTTATTTTACAAAATACTAAAACATTTATAAGCTCAACGATAAGCAAAAATTCAACTGAAAATAATTGAAACTTCTAATTTCGTTTTTGAAATCACTAGTTGAAACTTAAAAATGTAGGAAATGGAAAATTTTCTAAATGATTGTGGAGTCACATCAAATTTATTTCAAATCAATCACAGATACAAATGAATACTTTTAGTCACTACCATCGTGCTTTTGCTTGCAAACAAAATGGTAATTATTTTACATTTCAATTAAATTTTCTATTTATAAAATCTAATATATTTCTAAAAACATTTCAATTACTTGAGCAAGGTAATAAGATTGTGGACCGTCATTTTCCGTCAACTTATGCAATTAAAAAATTTATTTTCGGTGAGACTGACGAAATAAATGATAAATGCTACAAAGATTTATAAGCTGACAGTGATAATAAGTTGTCGTAGCATTACATCTCGTTTGATTCACATGAAGGCGGCAAGGAACATCAAACTAAACTGAATCAATTCAATAGATAACAACGAATTTGCGTCTATATAATGTCAAGAAAAAATAATTAATTGCAAAATTTGTCTAGTATAGAGTTGGCTACCTCGACAGCGGTTTTAGTAGGAGGATAATAGAAAACGTAATTGTCACTAGTAGCAATGCCTCTAATTTCATCACGATTTGGAGTGTAGCCCACGCCAACCGCTACAACGATTGATCCCCCGTTTTTGATGATGTTTGCTTTTGGAATAGTTTGGCCCTGGTTCACGTTCGATTCGCCGTCTGTAATGACAACTACATAGTTTGGCACATCATTTCTATCGCCTCTTTTGTTTAAAATGTTGTTAATTATTGCATCGAAGCCAGCCGGAGTGTTTGTTTTTCCAGCTGCGGCATTGAAATCGATGAGGTTGATGAGATTCATTTTGTTGCGTATCTGTGCGTCAAGTGTCATTTGGAATGAGACATCATCTGAATAGGCAACCATTGCAACTCTGGCGTTATCGTTGTCGATGGGAAGGCCGTAAATTATCTGCTTGGTAAGCGCAATGTTGTTCAGGGATTCCTCCTCTGTACTGCCGGATATGTCCAGCAAAATAATCACATCGAGCCTCTGGTTGCAGTCTGCGTGTCATGTTGCAAAATAATTGTTGTTATTTAAATGATATTCAACTTTGTGTGAGTGTGTGTAGGTTAGAATATTGTTTGAAATTATTTGAAAGTAAATTTCAAATGTCAGCTAATATAATTAGATAAAATTTATGTTATTATATTAATATTATGAACGTGAATCATTATATTAATACTTTAACTATAGGAAACATTTAAATAAACATTTCTGATCATAGATCCAATGACCAAAAAAGAATTTTATTCCGTTTTGCACATTTTATAATAAAGGATGATATTAAAATAACTATATAAAATAAATTTATTTTTGACTGTTAGAAACGAATTAAAAAACTTGCTTCTTTCGCAATTTCTTCCTCCATAAGATCCGTTGCAGCTACACCAATATGTCATGTAGTCATCTAAACAGGTGCCCTGGTTGTTGCAATTATTGAACTGGCACACTTTACCGTCTAGAAATTAATTAATTAGAAATTAATTAATGCTTTTCACCTAAGTAACATTCACTTTCAAATGAATTATCATGTAAATAAATAAATTTATGACCAACCGTTGCAAACAGTCTGCAATATGGAGGGTACTTTGGCAGGCAGATCGCGAAAAAATTCTACTTTGACGAGCGTTGATAATTTTGGCTCACTTGCTATCCCATAAAGTTCAAAGGAATTAAACATATTTGCTTCAAGAGCGACCGGAATTAACAAATTTCTATCTATTCTGTTTTGAATAGCCTCTGGTACAGTTAAATTGACATCTATGGTCGATGGTCCATTAGTAACTAAAATAGCCACGTTTTTAACATTTGGTCTATCTCCGTTTGCTTGGTTAAACACGTTTCTCCTCAAAAGTCTCAATGCACCAGACATGTTGTTGCCTCCCGCCATGAAGTAAGGCAATAGCTTTATTGCTTGAATTACGTCGTATTTATTGGTATATGAATTTAAGTTGAAGGCTACTTGTGCTTCGTTAGCCCAAAATATTAAAGAAACACGTGTTCTCTGTGGAGATATATCCAAGCTTTCGACTATACTTATTGCAAAGTTCGTCAGATTTTGGAATCTTTCACGATGCACGACCCCTCCGCTGAGCAACAAGAAAGCCAAGTCAATTTCGCCGGTACATCCTTCAAAATAATTTTGATTTAGTTAAAAACAATCGTGTTGCAAGTAAAATTATGACAAATATTCCTACCCCTTTCACAATATGTTCCGGTGGTCATGGAGGGGCAGGGTCCACAGAAATAATTACCAACACTTGAAGTGCAGGTCTCTGGATTTTTACACAGATTTGATGAACAGTAGTTAATATCTGTTTTTTAAACATAGATAAATTTTTGTTAACGATGTTTCACAAAATTACGAAGAGTATCAGATATCACAATCATTAATATTAACATTTTATTTATTAACATTTAATATACCATTTACATAATACTGTTAAATTGTTGCATAAAATTATAAACATTATTACATTTTTCAATAAGATTTAATATTAATCATAATTATACTGGTAATAATAATAATAAATAATAATAATTATTATTAATATTATTATTGTTATTCATTTATATTTTTATTAATTGACATAACTGAGCAAAAGGCCTCAGCACACCACTTATTTATATTCAGTCAGGAAACAGAAACATATAATTTTAGCAAAGTCAAATGCCAGAATGGAAAAGTTAAATGTTACTTAGTTATATTAAAAAAAAACTTATTACATCAATGTCAAATAACAAATACATTGAATGAAATTTAATTTAAATTGAATGTAGATATTAAATTATGATATTCGTTGAAACAATTACATTCAAAATTCATATTTTGAACTTTGAATTTCAATATTTTAACTAAAAATGAGAATAGAAAATTGTATCTCAAAACGAAAACAAACTATTGCATAGACGATTAGTGATGAATGAAACGGTGCTGTTTTCCTTCAGACTCTGTGCATCTGCCACTATTAAAGCATTGGACCTTCCATTGCTGGCGATGGCCGTCAGTTGTGGGCTCATGTATGGAGCACTGCCAATTCCAACCTTTCCATTTAAATTTACATGAAATCGTTTTAGCAGTGTGTCAATTCGTATAATTTAATTGATATATTCAATTATTAATTTATTGTTTTTTTTTTTTATTTTTCAAATTATGCTTACGCTTAATATGTTAATGCCTTTTTCTCTAAGAGAAACAGATTTAAGCCACAAATTTTTCAGACCGTCGTTACTTTCGTCATAATCACCATCAGATACGACAACTAAATAATTTGGTATGTTGACTCTGTCCTCCCTTTGAAACATCAAATCAGCCGTCCTGTAGTTTTATTTAACAGAAATAGCAACTAAAAGTTTAACTTTTTTAAATGAAATCATTTACTTACTCTAGGGCTTTAATTATTCTAGAACTAGATTTCGACTGAAACGGAACTCTTAAAGCGGCGATTATTTGGGATTTAGTTTTGTAGGTACTGAAATTGAAGTATGTCGTTACGGAATTCCCATCGTAGGTGAACAACCCCACCCTGCTGAAAGATGGTCCGTCAAGATTTCCATTTATATTCATCGCGTTAACTATATTACCGATGTAGTTTGTTACGTTGAAGAATGTGTTTGATTCTATTCCTAATGACGCATCAATTGCGAAAATGATATCACCACCATTTTTACAAGCTGTAAAATGTTTAATCAGCGGACGTTATTACTAAAATCGAGTTCAATGTTTCTAACAAATGAATATAATATTATTGAAATATTATTGAACAGCAAAATAATTACTTTCGTTACAAAAAGATCCAGTCCATCCAGGTAGACAATCACAAATAACTTGATTGGCTATTTCTCTGCACGTTCCTCCATTGAGACATGGATTTATTATGCAGTTATTGTCATCTGAATAAGGATAGTTTGCATTTAACAACATCACATTTTATGCATATTTTAAAATGATTATTTGAATGGAGTTTGTTTTTAAAACACACCTCCACAAGCAAATCGTTTGATTGGATCCGAAAGTGTGGGCAAACTTCTTGAGCTATCAACAGTTGCCATGTTCTTTGTAGAAGATGCCAATGCCGCAAGTTCAAATCGATTGAGAATACTTCCAGAGCCTACTGTAAATATCCCAATACTTTCATTTCTCATACAATCTGCTTCTTCGAGAACAACCACTGGATCATCAGATGGATAGTTGATTAAGGCCACAACAGCTTTTGAGACTGTTTTATCGTTGACACGCGCTCCATTTGCCGCCGAAAACAATGAAGTTCGAACAAGATTCAAAGCCGACGCCAAGTTTGTTCCATATCCTCCATAAGAAATTTTGTCTATGGCCATTTGAAGAGAGGCTGAGGTAGAAAAATTAGTGAAATAAAATTCCACGTTGGCTCTGTCACTAAATGAAACAGCAGCTACTTGGTTCCATCGGCTGTCAATATCCAATTTGGATGCAACATCTTTAATCAATGCAAGTAAATAATCGTGAAAAAAGTTAACATTCATGTTGGTTGATCGGTGAACAACAAACACCACATCTGATTTCTTGGGACAATTCGAATTGGGCACTGTTCAAAAACAAAGTTTTTACTAAGAGTACAAATCGAAAGTAAAAAAAACTGATGTTATATAATGGTATGGTATGGTATAATAATAATTAATACATAAAAGCACTAACAAACGATCGGGTTTTTAGTAGAAGTTGTTGTAGTTGTGCTGGTTTTTGTAGTAGTTGTGGTAGACGTAGTAGTTGTTGTAGTTGACGTTGTTGTGGTGGTGGTAGACGTAGTAGTTGTTGGACGTGTAGTAGTCGTAGTTGTTGTTGATGTCGTTGTTGTTTTTGTTGTTGTTGTTGTTGATGTCGTTGTTGTTGTAGATGGGTTAGTCGTTGTCGTTGTCTTTCTTGTTGTTGTTGATACTGTGAAAGCCATTTTACACGATTGTGCTACTAAATCAGTTATAATACTATCCAGTTTTGAATATTCAGTGACATAAAAATAATGACTATCGGACGGAGCGGTAGCAATGTTTTTCAATTGATTTTCGTCTATTTGACTTGTTACACCAATTGTGTAAATGATTATATTAGCAGCTTTAGTCATGTTTGCTTCAATGATTGTTTTTTCAGCTTCACGATTTGCTTGACCGTCTGTCAGTAAAATCATAATGTGAGGAGCATCTGGTCTCGATCCCAAGCTTTGTGAAAACATATTCCGACCATTTCTTAAGGCATCCGCAATGTTTGTTTCTCCACCAACAAGATCAAAAGCTAAAATGGCACTTTTCAAATCGGAATTTGTGAGGTATCTATTTAAATCAATTTTTTGGTTAACATTTGCTGAAGTTGAAAATTTTAGAATTCCAATTTTTGTTAAATCAGTTGAAATGGGAAAAGAATCAGCTATCTGCACTGCAAAGTTTTTTATGGACTCCCAGTTCTGATTACCGTTGGATCCAGATACTATACTAGTTGACTCGTCAAGAATTATCACAATATCTGCTTTCCTAGGGCATGTTGTTTCTGGTAGATTTTAAATATTTGAAAAACGATTTTTAAAAAATATTGAATTATTTTTTTATAAGTGTTAAAAAAAACTATAAGATTTGCACAAATACATATATTCATAAAAATTTCTGTTTGAAAAATCCTTTTTAAACACTAACCACTTTGAGCACCGCACACAAGATTGCCAACTTGAGGGACCTTGCTTTGGATGTATCTATAATTTATTGTACGCACGTAGTCTTGAAGCTTGGTTCCAATTTTTTCTAAGTCATTAACTGCAACTAGACTATTTATGTCAAATGCAATGATTCGTATACCGAAATTGTTTATTGATTTTGCCGCATTTATTACCTCACTAGGGTTTATTAGAGAATATCCAATAAATAATATTATAACTTTTTGAACTTCGCGGCTGTTGTTGAAAATCTTATCTTTGGCGACGTTCAATGCTAACACAGGATTTGATGAAGTTCCTGCTGAGAACGGTATGTTATCAATAGCAGTTTTGACCTGATCTTCGTTTTCATATTTCTGCAAGTCAAAATGTATAGTAGGAGCGTAGTACGTGTAACTGACAACTGAAACGCGAGCGTCGGACTGACCAATTTTCAGATAGTCGGTAATAAATTTTTTCATGAAACTTTTCAAATAACCAAAGCTAGTAACGTCACCAGGAAAAGTAAACGCAAACACTATATCTTTTTCCACACATGCTGAGTTTTATAAAAAATAAAAATAATGTTTTTACTATTATTTAAAAAAACGAATAAAAATTGTAAACTGACCATCATAAACGTGTTTGTCTTCCGTACAAGTCTTTTCTTGCAAACTCGTTAAAATAGTGTTAAGAGTGGTAAAGTCAGGAGTTTTCCAATAATTTGCATTTTCCAAGTGAGGGGGGGAAGAAACATCTCTTATTTGATCTTCGTCAATTTTGTCTGTTATTCCAATAACAAAAATTTTAATTCCATCTTTAAAAAACGCATTCTCAGCTTCCGGTATAGTTTTTTCAGGGTCCACATTAGCTTTCCCATCAGTGAGCACTACAGCTATTTTAGGCGCTTCAGGTCTACCACCATTGGATTCTTGAAACATGGTACGCATCAGTGATAGACCAGCGTACAAGTTAGTTTCACCAACGCCAGCTGGCAAATTTCTGATTGCATTTATTATATCATTCGCATTTGTGTAGTCCGATAATTTAAATCTGATGATGGCCGAATTTCCAAAAGTTAAAAGTCCGATATGAACTCCGTCGTAACTAACGTTCGAATTTTGTACAACTCTGACAACAAAATCTAACATCAGTCCCCAGTTGTCCCATGATCCGTTGGTTGGATTTGCATCCCTTATGCTTCCAGAATGGTCCAAGAGAAAAATAAGATCGCTTTTAAGATAGCAATCAGCTGTTTAACAAAAAACATTATGAATAATTTTATACATTTTCAATGAGGTATCTTGATTGTAGTTAGGATCAGATAAAATTTTTAATAAACTGCTGTAAGTAATGCACAAACTTCATGAGGACTTACATTTTGAGAATGAGATCAAATGACATAACATCAACAGGACAATTATGTTCAAAGTTATCAAAGAATTTTTCATGATTTTTGTTGAATCTATAAATTGAAAATGTATAAAATTTATTTATTTAATGGAAAAACACAATTTTAACATTCATCGAAACATTGGTTAAGGAGAAAATTATTTCAATATTTTGACATTTTCAAAATCATGACTTGTTCTTTGTTTCAGAACACACTTAAATGTATTGAGCGATGTACAAAACTACACACACACACACACACACACACACACACACACACACACACACACACACACACACACACATATATATATATATATATAAATATATGGTTATATATATGGTGCATACTTGTGTGTGTGTATATATATATATATACACACACACAGTTGACGATTGTATGCGTCTAAAATCATCATATATCGGCATGACTACCACGGATTTATCACGGAGATTGACGATGCATAAGAGAGAAGGTGCCATTAAAACCCATCTCCTTGACAAACACAACACAACAATCACCAGAGGTATACTAAATGACAACACAACCATCATCTATAGTACCCAACAATATCAAAATCTTAAACTCGCTGAAGCCATTCTAATAGAAATGCAAAAACCTACATTGAACAACCAACAACAAATTAAAACAACTCTCCCTACGCATAGATTAATTAACAACGTCAACATTGTTGCTAATAATTTTAACGTCATCGATAATAATAATAATAATAATAATAATAATAATAATAATAATAATAATAATACTTTTAATAACAATGATGACGACGACAACAACAATACAAACAACGATAGCAACAACAACAGCAACAATAAAAAGAACAACAACTACAACAACAATAATAATAATGGTAATGATGATGATGATGATAATAATAACAATAATAATAATAATAATAATAATGATAATGATAATGATAATAACAATAATAATAATAATGATAATAATAATAAAAATAATAATTAATAATATTAATAATAATAATAATAATAGAAACGATA